TCATGTATTGATGACTTACGCTTGATTTACTCGCCCTCGTTTGTTGCACAGTGTTCGAAATGTTCTCGATGCCTTGGGGAAGTGATTTCCGATTGAAAGAAAATACTCGACTTCAGGTTAGGCAACGTTTACCCGCTGCTAAGCTTGTCTGAAATTTGCAATCTTTGGCCGCGAAACTTTCTCAAATTGAAAAATGCATTTGAATGGAAGGGGTGATGCCAGTGGTAGTGGCAGTCGCAGCGTCAACACTCAGAAAAAATTCGCTGTGAACTTTAGAAACTCGTCATACTTTTAGCGCCAACGGTTGCTCACCATCTTATCAGAACAAAAATTCTAATAATAAAACCAAGATTTGAATTTGGTTTCTAAAACTTGACCCTTCGTTCGCGAGTGGAGTTACTACCAAGTGAGCTACGCAGACTGTGATGTAAACAGCAACTAGACTCTAATATATTTTTCTGAGTGTACGATTTCCCTCGAATTTTCCGCAGCTTGACTTTGGCTAAAAGCTGGAGCTAGATGTTGGCGTTGTTGTTGTAGCTGGAAGTCGTTGCCGCCAGTCGCTGACCGAAAAATGTGTGTCAAGTTTTCGACAAAGATCAAGTACATCTCAGATAATACATCAAATGAGTTATGCTACTGCTGCTGTTGTTGTTGGTGGTGGTGTTGGTGTTGGTGGAGGTGGCGGTTGTTGTGCTGCTGCTGCCGCAGGCCTCTTAATGCATCCGCTGTACGGGCAATTCCAGTTGCCATGACCAAAATGTTCTCAAAATCACAGCATTTTGGCTTAGATTTTTGTGCAATTTTCTTGTAGCCCGCTGCAGTGAAAGTGCTGCAACAGCTGCGGCACACAACTGACAACCAGAGATGTCTAGCACACAACAACGCGCAACTGCTGCCCCAAATGATCACGAAGGCCGATTATAATATAAATACAAAAAAGCAAATTAGAATGCTCTAGTCAAGAAAGTACCCAAGACTTTACCTATCATCACATATCCAAATGTTACATATTGGGAAAAATATTTATAGAGGGTATTATGATTTGACGTCTCCCAACCATATAATATATATATATTGTTGATCAGCAGCAAGGAAGCAACACCAGGCAAGTCTGTCTGTCTTATTTCTGTTTTTATCCAAAACTTCTCTCATTTCTTAAGCTGTTTTTACTTGGCATATATCCGGCCTTTTGCTGCAGATAGTACACATGAAATAGAAATAGAAACAATTGGTCGAATTTTTGTTCTCGATTGAACAGACAAAATTTTAATCAAGATATCCAGATCAATCTCCCAAAATATACTTGTTATTATCTTTCACACATTTGAATAAAAAATCATAGGTCTACTGTGTCAAATAGTTTTTAAACAATTCAGAGATACAGTATAAGTACACAAAAATGTAGGAATAGAGTTCGCTGCAAGTTGTAAAACTGAAATCATATAAATCATATAAAATGTATTTCGAACTCCAGACCTTAGGCAGGTTGACTTGGGTCTACAATGGTATATAATCTTTGGTGTGTCTAAGATACCCGCTCTTTCGTGATTTCATATTAATTTATTTAAAAAAAAATCTAAGATGTTTAGGGACGACGGAGGTGAGCGTGGCATATGCTGGTCTACAACCTACAAACCAAATTTGATGACTGTAACCTTAAAATTGTGACTTTAACGATTTGCAATGATCGGTTTTATCGATTTCCTAACCGCCTTGTGGACGTATGTGTTCCAAGTCTCAAGTCTCAATCTCTAAGTTGACAGATGGAAAGACAGCATGATACCATGATACCTTCAGTATCAAAGAATAAGAAAATTGCGGAAATTGCTAAGATGAAGGGATCTTAACTCAAAAACGCTGTTAACTCTATGTCGGAAACGCAATGGGCCAAGTAAGTTGGTTGGCAATCAAAACGTATACATAATTTCATTCAAAAGCAGACTTATGACATCTTCAGAACATACCCAACAACGAGCCAAACACTATTGTAATGATGTACTTAAATAGCATGTTAATTCATGAACATATTCCAAGACTACAGCTGCTGAACTATAAGTTTGTTTCCAGTATGAGGTCAATGCACCGCTATGGTCGGGGTCACTGCGCCAACTGGTGGGCGTTTTCTGGCTTGCTTTCGGGTATAGGGTATGGGTACGGGTACGGGTACGGGTACGGGTTCGATCATCGGTTCGAGCTAGCACACTTACATAGTGTGTCCGTACTTTGGCGACCTACATATTTGGGTTTCGTCTACACTGACCTACTGCTCAAAGTGCTGTGCGGGTCTGGGTCAGAGAAAGGGAGAACTTGTTTGTGGCGAGTGTTCACTTTTGCCACAGTCGATTGGACTGCCTCTTGCAGTGATTGCTCAATCGAAGAAGGTAGCCAACCAAGACCAAGAGCATTCCAGCAATCAAGTTCAGCACTGGCCAAACGGACACCTGCACCAATCAGAGCGGCAATCAATCGACATCTGGCAAATACAGATACATACAGGTTCAAAGAACTTTTTGATCGCCCATTCACTGTCGCTGCTTGATTTTGATTAGGCTTTCACAACATCGCCTGTCGACGTGAGCACGTTAAAATAATCTCAAATTGTTCACACAACAATTTAATATTTGACTGCTTAGCTGTATACCCTTTATTAACATAAGTCAAAACTGCAATAACCTAAAGTTAGACAAATAAATATCCTTACAACGATTACATATCTACACAAATATATTTGAAAATAGTGCAAACTAGAAGTGGAAGAGAAGACGAAGTCAAATTTTGATGTACGGGAATATTTTCATGCCAATATAAAGATGTACATATAAATCATAATAAATAAATATAAATTAACATGTATTAATTATTAATGTTAAATTAATTTAGACCCACAATTTGATATTTGATACAGAAATCGGTTTAGCCAGGCAAAAAATATGCCTAATTTTAAACTTTTGTGATCTTTTCATCAAATATAATCAAACCATTATTTAAGCCATAATTGAATATGTTGGGCGCAGACAACTTAACTCAATTGTCTAATAGTTGCCAAACGGCGGAGCAACAAAAATGGAACTTAATACCATATACCTCGATTATAGTCAATTTATGTTGTTATATGTATGCATAAGTCGCACAGTAGCGCATTCCGACTTGTTTCTTCTCAAAAATCAAATCGCCTGAGGAACCAATTTCCGCAATTTATGACAGAAAAATTCCAAAGCTTTTAATCAATAAAATACCAGAATTAAGTTGTTTCTAATTTCCAAATCTGATCTATTTCGACTCTTCTTCCAACTGTTGTGGACTGTAAATGAAAAAAACGTTAATCAATTTCTATTTCAACTTATTAAAACAATTTTTTTTAGAAGGTATTACAATTTTGCAATGACATATGAAGGACACGTCTACGATATCATAATGTGAATATATATTGCAGATCATTATCACTAGCCGCGGCGATATAGCCAAGTCCGTTTGTCCAATTTTTTGAAAATAAACTCTAAACGTTATCAATTAACTAACTCTTTTTTTGAAACTGGGCATATATCCGACTATTTGGTTTGGTCACTCAAAACACGGCGTCCGACCGGATCAGAATAGTATCTTTTCTTATATAGTTTTCATAGGAACAATCGGTCGAAAGATGGATTTTAAGTTGTTGGATCGAGATATGTGTAGACAAACATGTCACCCTTTCTGACACAATATAACTACAGAAATGTGAAATATTCAGATCACAGCCAGTCGTCAATCAGAAAAAATATAAACACATGTTTTTTAAAAACCTACAAAAACATAATAATATTTCGAACTTCGGTGTTTAGTTTGAACATTAAGAAATTAAAAATGTATATGAGACCCCCACTGTACGTGGTCGCATAGGTTGCATGCCACTTTCCCAATCACATACAACTTGCATGATGCCATCGGCCATGTTCTGACAGTATTCATACTTGTCGTGAATGCGTGAGTAATTTTTACACATTTACGTGTCACAAATATCTCCGAATACAAAGCCCTACTAATCATAAATAAATATTGAAGTAATACTAACAGTGCCGAATAGTTTTTCACTTTGTTTCCAATATTCACATGGCATTCTTAACAGCAATTTTTTGATATTTTTATTTGTAACTTTGCGATTTTCGGGTTTCAAGAGGCCGTGTCACGAAAGGAAATGAGACACGCGCCCGTCTCAAAATCTACTGGTGACTGTGCTATTTTCATATGCGTGCAATGTTGCCGCTGATAACCCAGTATCCCAGTTAAATATGGAATCGAAAGACGTAAAAGACGAGGGAATTTAAATACGCAGCGAGCACTGAAAGAGAGAGCACAAAGCCAATTACTTTAAGAAACAAAATCAATTTGTGTGTGTACCCTTACATGGCATCTCAAATACTCTACTCTCATTTTTTTTTTTAATGTTTTGATTAATTTTTACCTATACTCAAATATATGAATATATTCACGTGAATAAAACATTTACGCAATACCTCTTTCTGAAGCTTAAAAATTGAAATACAATATTTCATTTAAATAAATAGAAATTTCAAGTGAACTTAAGCAGTTATAGTAATGGCTGGAGCCCCTCATTTTAGGAATAAACCCCTTAATTCTATTAAAAAAAAATACAAAGAAGACAACAGAATATAAAAAATATGACAAATCTAAGCAAATTACTGTTACTTCGAACAAAAGAAAAGAAAAATGTTTTATGTAAAATCAATACCATTTATTATAATATATATATAATATAATTGAAAACATATATTGAATTATAATATACATATTTAGTTTAATATGTATTTTATAATTAATTGTAGTTTTAGGTTAAATTGTTGCAATTATGGTCAAACAACAATGTGAATCAAAGCAGAATCTAATTGTAATATGCGCTCCCAATGTGTTAGAGTAGAATAAATCCGTTATGCATAAATCCAGCGGCGTAGGCGATGTCGATTGTCGTCGTCGCACCAATTGCTCAGGTACTCAAGTACTTTCAATTGTCGCTTTGTCGCGCCTCCATCTCCAACTCTATCGCCGTCGCACCAGCTGCGTACATCGGCCAAATACATATAAAAGCGTTGGGGCGATCGGGCAGGCGTTTCTTTTGCCAAGACAATGGCGAGAAGTGCGCTTATTGTACACGGGTTAACAGTGGCCCTGGGCATGGTCATGGGACCTTGGCTAGCTGCCGGCATGGGACGCTTTGAGCCAGCTGTGCCGCCCCCGCCCCGCTGGGGCGCCAACATGCAAATGTTGCGACGATACAACTGTAAACACTCTGACTGTGTAGAATTGATTATGATAGTAATTGAGTGTTACTTACAGCTGCGGCATTTGATTATTGGACAGATGAGAGCGACAGCAACATTTGGGAGCATTGCGGTCTCTTCGAGGGTGACATCATGTTGCATCGTGAGCTGCTGCGCAATGGGCTGCTGAACGAGCGACAGACATGGCCAGATGCTGCTGTCCCATTCTACATTGATCCAAAGGACTTCAGTGAGTAGCCAGACCAAGTACTATGTATGCGATAATTTGAAGTTTCAAAAGCAAACTGGCACAGCGACCAATGAGACGATGGTCATACTGATGGCATTCAAGGAGTACCACGAACGCTCCTGCATACGCTTCCGGCCGTATGAGGAAGGCGACAAGCACTGGCTCCTCATCAAGGGCAACTATTCCGGCTGCTGGTCGAGCGTTGGCCGGCGCCAAGGCGGCCAAATTCTCAATCTCAACACGCCCAAGTGCGTCACTCATGGCGTTGTTGTCCATGAGCTGTTGCACGCGCTGGGCTTCTACCATCAGCAGAGTGCCACGGAGCGCGACGAGTACGTGAAGATCAACTGGGAGAACATCTTGGATGGCCATGCACACAATTTCAACAAATACGCACGCACACATATCACCAACTTTGGTGTGGAGTACGACTATCAAAGCGTTATGCACTACAGCTCCCGGGCATTCAGCAAGAATGGCCAGGCCACCATTGAGCCACTGGTAAGCTAAATCATAAATTTATCAATTCTTTTTATGCTGCCCAATATTTTATTTTTATTGCCAAAAATTTACTTGACATATTTTGGCCGATTCTTTCAAAACTGAGTTTTAGAAATTGGCACTAGAAGGTTAACGGATTGAATAATGTATCTGAAGTATATATGTTTATATATAATTATGTATATAGTTAATCATCAATACATACATGCACTTGTATTACACTCCTTTCTAATTTGATTTTGAAGTGAAATGAGTTCAATGAATAAATTTACATTTCCCTCAGAAGATACACAAATAAACACATATATAAATTTATGTAATTTCTAAGGATAACTTCTTATTGGTAAATATATTAAAATATATGTGGATGTAATTAAGATACAATATTTTGTACAAGGATACATAAGCTTGTTGTAAGCAGTTTTATTAATAATGATTTGAGCGCCCCTTATCAAAAATAATAATAATCATATTAAGGGCATACAAGGTTCGTCTGTTTATCGGACAATTTGTAAGCATCGAATTTTTTCATGTACCATGTTGCGATCTTGGCTGAATTCGTCTATTTGTTGCAGTCCGGATCGAATTACCGTATAATATCATATATATATATAGAATTACCATATATACATATGATAATATATGCTGATCGTTGTAATAAGACCATATCGGCACTTAAACTTCCTTATAAATTTATAATTTAATATTTTCCGCCTGTTATCAAATTGTAATTATTTATTAAAATATTATTTTTAAGTGTCAACTTAATTCGTTTAATTAATTTATTTATCTGATATGTTTCTCACGAAATGTGCAACACGGTAAACTTATTTGAAATACACACATATACATATATATATGAATATATGATTATGATCAGATCATATATGAGGTATGAAGCTGCAGAGTTAATTTTAAACCAGATAACTAGATAAAATCAGAGATTTTCTTTAAAGTATATTATATTTTATACATAAAACTGTGATGCTAATGCATACTATCTATATTTATTAGGATCCATATGCCACACTTGGCCAGCGACGCGGTTTGTCCGAAAAGGACATTTCAAAGCTGAACGAGATGTACCAGCAGGACTGCAATGGAAACTTCCTGTTAGGCTTTGATGGCTTTGGTAACTATCTGGACGAGCTGCTCGACTACTTCCAAAGTAATCTGCTGGGTCTGTTTGGCTAAACACGGATTATAGTTTATTGAACAAGTACAAGCAAATACACAAGCACAAGCACATTTAGTAATAAAATTCAAGAAGTTGCCTAGGCAACAAAAAAACTAAACTGACTAAGCTCTTCGAGCGTCTGGGCGGCTTCCATTCGCAGTGATTGATTCGTCTGCTGCTCGGCCAGCGCCTGCAACGCTCCTTTTAGCTCCTCATTCCAGATATACTGAACGCCACGAAGACTAAAGCGTGCCAGTAGCAAAAGCATTTGGCAGGCGCGCTGACGCAACAGCTGGTGGCGACTCTGAAGTAGAAGGGCCAGGCGCAGCCGCGGATCAAAAACAATCTTCTCGACCAGCTCTGCATTCTCGGGTAGCTCACGCAAAACACAACAGAACAGAGCCAGCATGCAGCATGCCAGACGCACCGCGCTGCTATCTTTCCAGTCTGAAATATATGCATAGAAACGATATAAATCCATTATCCACTCTGTTATCTGTATCGTCTGCTCACCATGTGTAAGAAAGTTAATAAACATATCGTTGACGGCGAGTATCGCGACTGCATCGCAAAACTGACTGAGAAACGGCTGCTGCTGATGCACCAGGTGACAGACCAACTCGTATAGACTGCAGGCGGTGCTCATCTCCTCGGCACTCAAGTCGGAGACACTACGCAGCGTTCGACTCAGCGAGACGCCAGTTGCGGCTGGCATTGAAGCAGCCGAGTCTGTAAGCTGGCGTTGCGAAAGGAGTAGCTTGCAGGCGTACATCAGATTGGGCACAAGCTTAACATCAATGTAAACAATCTTGATGGCGTCCGTCACCAAATGCTGTTCGGCCAGCACAAATGGTAACGATAACAGCTGCGCCACACTCCGTAGCACCTTGGGTATGGCCTTAGAGTTCCGCAGTGGGGCCACAATGATGCTCACCAAATTGTGTTGCCGCAGCGAATCGAATTCGCCATCCAGCAGCTCCTGTGTGGAGCGATGCAAAAATGCCAACCACTCGTCATTCTCGATGGGTGGACTCTGAGATTCATCGCAGCTGTCCCAGCCGGGTAACAGACAAGGAGGCGAATTACTAGTAAAACTCGTCTGTTAATATTATTTAGTGATATTTAAAACAAATTACTTACTCGCTACTCAATTTATCATCGTTGGTGGAATGTATTGATTGCTTCAGCTGTTGTGACTTTTTCTCTTGCAGATGCAGCTGCTGCTGGTGATGCAGAGATTGTTGTGACTGCTGTGTGAGCATCTCTGTTGTTTTACGTCTAACTTCTGCGTCAATGCTTTGACCTAGGCGCAGTGAAAAGTTATCCAAGTTTTGGCTAAGCTTGCGCTTCTCCAGATCCTTGCTACGCGACTGTTTTATATTGAGCGCCATCTTCAACTTGGACTTCATCGATTTTGTTGCACTTGCGACAGGCGCTTCCATAGCAAAATTATCATTAAAATGATTGAGTATCATATTCGAGTTTCCGCTAACAAAGCAGGTATGTGAATTAATTAATGGCACTGCACCACCACCACCACCACCACCAGCTGGTGCAGGAGTAACAGCAGTTGGGCTAGGCATTTGCCTGTACGATACATCAGCAAATGGCACAATCATCCGCTGCACATTATCCTCCATATCGGTTTCTAACTGTTCAATGTCGCTTGGAGCAATGGCATTGATACTGTCACGCGATGTGCTCAAGTTTTCGTTGGCCACATCGCTCAGCTTTAGCGCAGCCAAAACATCAACCATATCGGCGCCAATTTGTCTGTAAATAAGCAGCAGCGGCATTAGTGGGGCTTAAGGCTTACAGATTTGTGAACACACCTCGTATGCGACTGGGGCTTCTTAGTGTCCTTGGTCAATTGTGGATTGATAAAAGGCGAACTTGTTGCGGCTTGCACCTCGGGTATGTAGAGCTTACCCTCTACAAAGGGATGACACAGTAACTGCGTCCACGAGATTCGCATACTGGGATCCTTCTCGAGCAAACCCTGCAAAAAAGAACGGCACTCGCTGCTCAACGTGCTTGGCCATTTGACTTCCTCGTGCTTGATCAGCTTCACCAAATGCAGTATGGAAGTTGCACAGAACGGCGGCTGTGCCGCCATACTCTCATATGCAATGCACCCCAGTGACCACATGTCTGCCTGATGATCATACGGCTGCTCAGCCAGCAGTTCCGGTGCCATATATAGTGGTGTGCCTTTAATGGAGGTCAGCACATGTGTGCCCATTGTCATGTTGCGTGCCAACCCAAAGTCACACAGCTTTGCGTGCATATTCTTGTCCAGCAGCACATTTTGGGGCTTCAGATCCCGATGCAATATGCGATTTGAGTGCAGATAATAGAGCGCCGATACCAAATGACAGACAACACGCTGCGCATCCTCCTCGGGCATTGCACCGTTGAAGGACAAATATCGATGTAAGTCCATTAGCGCAAACTCTGTGACCACAAACAAATCAAATTTTGATTCGAAGGATTCAACCATTTCAATGACATGCGGATTTTTAAGGCGAGCCTGAATATCACACTCGCGGCGCAGATTCTTTAATTCACGATTCGAGCGTCCTCGCTGCAATTAATAAGATACTGAATTAACTGTTGCATGTCGCATGCCACCTTGTCATGGAACTCACCTTTGAGATGACTTTAATGGCCACAATTTTGTCATCAGCCCGCCTTTGCGCCTTGTATACACAGCCAAAGGAGCCTTGGCCAACCAGAGAGCTAACTGCGTAGCGGTCCATTGTGTGCAGTCGGCAAAGGAATCGTCTTTCAACAAAATGCGCGTCGGAACGCTTTAAACTTTCATAAGGCGCAGTGTAACTGCGATTTAAAAAACAAAGACTTAATCTAACATACTATGCAGTGTATTTATATCGATAGTTCACCTATGCGATAGTTGTAATCGATAATTACGGCCAGTAAAATTGGCACTTTGTAAATTCAGATTATGAGTATTTTTTAAATAAACAAATCAAATACGGATTTACATGTTAATATTGTGTGCAGATTGACCAATATTAATTTACCGAATAAATTTATATTCGATATAATAAAACACAGAGACGTTCAAGCGGCAAATCGATACACAGCTGGTTCGCATTTAAAAAGTCACCTGCTCTAAAATTGTAAAACAGCTGATTTACCTATATGGCAACGAAGATATCAGCTGTGGCAAGTTCATTTGTTTACGGAGTAAAGCTGCATCAATATCGGCAAAGACTGGACTAGTTTTATCAACCTGTAGGCAAATAAATAATGAAAACAAGAACCCACTAAACAACACACGCCATCACAAACGCTTAGCCATGCGCGAGCCCAACTTGTACGTCATATTATCGCACGCGCTAATTGGTAAGTAGTTTAATGATAATCGCCGGCCGCCCCAAAAATAATAAATGTGCATGTACGTCTGGCATGTCAGGCTCGGGTTTCTTTTTCCTGTACATGCACCATGTGCGCGTCATCTTCGAGACGCGAACCAACATACGGCATCTCAACCAATTGGAGAGCGAATCGATGTTGCGCCGCGAAGATGCCCTTTATTACACATTCTACAAGAAGCTGACCGACGGTCCAACGTTCTGGCATGGCTACGAGCAGCTAAAGAATGTCACCGACATTGAATATCCACACAGCGTCAATGTGCTGCAGCGTTTCTATGTGCTGCCCGAACTGGTAACTGCGTGAGTATATTTTGCACATATGTCAACTATATTTTTAATATTGTATTGTGTATGTATAACTTCAAGCTCAAGTCACATTAAAACCGAGCCAATATGGGCATATCCAAAGAAAAGTCCACCACGTCCAAAATCTAGAATATGTTTAGCATTGAACATAAATTCAGATGGTCAATATTGAAAACAAATTGTTTTCTTATCGCTTTTAATTTGCTTCGGTGGCGTTTTCCTTAAATATTTCTCTATGACACATGTATTTGCTAAATTTCCCAGAAAATCATTAACATCAACAATAGAACAAACCAGCAGATTTCCTGAATGCATGCAAATGATTTAAGCCAATACTATTTCGGATCAGCTGACCTAATCGACCTTGCAATTTTTTTTTTTTTGCAATTTCTTTTTCTTTATTCTGAAGACTTACAACTGATTTCTGCAAATGCTTATATGTATTTATGTATACAGATTTACATAGATGCACAGTGCCTTAGTCGTTGGATCAGGCTACTGCTCATATATAATAAATATACATTTAATTTATATATATAAAAAATATATATATATATACATTCCTGCAGCTACTTCTTTCACATTGTCCGCGCCGGCTTTAATCCGAGCCTACAGCCCATGGAGTTCTACTTTGAGTTCGTCTGGCTAATGGGTGGCGTCACGCTGCTTGTGCTCTATCTGTATGGGACGCTGCTAAGCGAAAATGTGTTTGGTGGCATCTACGGCGTCATCTCCTATTTGATGTTCCACAGCTTTGCAGCCAAGATCTATGAACGTCCAATGGCGCGTGAGAATTTCGCGTTTCCATTTATATTTCTGCAGATGTTTTATTTGTGTATATGCATTGGCCGTGTACTTCACCGTCAGAAGCACTCCTCGCGCGTCTTTATGGTAAGTGCGATTCGTGGCAAAAAATACACAAGTGTTTCTGTAAAATGACGTGAAATTCCATATAGATATTCGTGATGGCGATGTTTACGGCGTGTGCGCTGCTCTCGTGGCAATTCTCCAACTTTATATTCACAACACAAATTTTAATTGTAATGACTTCGTGGAACATCGGCTCAATGCCAGCTGGCCTGGCAAATTCATTCGCATTGGATTACTCACTGTCACACCTGCTGGGCAATTGCCTGGCCTTTGTGCTCTCGCATGGCAACAGCCAGCTGCTTTTCACCTGGCAGCTGAGCGTTGCACTTAGCTTGTTCCTGATTACGGTTGTTCGGCAATTACGCAATCGGCGCTGCACGAACGATCTGCTGCAAGGCGACTATTTCTCGTTTAAGTTAATATTGCTAGCGCTACTGTTTGCCTGCAGTATGCAGGGTAAGCTTGTGGATATGCTAAGCAAGTCCGGACTGCTCAACTGGCAGGACAACACGTATATGCACTATTGTGACCTGTGGGCGCACTGGATGCTGCAGGCAAAGGTGAGCTTTGTGACCAATTTGTCAGCATGTAATCCGCTCTATGCACGCGTCGCCTGGTCGGAACTATGGCAGCTGGTGAAGACATTAATTGTGAAGCCATATTGCATGTATGGCGTCGTTATGCTGGCCATGTTCTTTCGCAAATGGCGCAAAAGTAATGTTCCATCAGCGGCTAATCAGGAGCAACGCGAGCGCGCTCGTAACTATGTGCTAGAGGATTTTCTCGAAGAGCACCATGTATCCATGAGCGATATGTCCAACAAGCAAACCGAACAGCAGCTGCAGCAGTGCTTCGCAATGCTCGAAAGCTGCGATCACAACTATGACCGCTATAAGCGCGAAAAGGCCAAAATGCAACAGGAGCAGCCGGCGGCGCGCGACGACTTTATGCAGGATATTAAGCGCCTCAAGGCTCAGATACATCGCAACAGTGACAAACAGCGCAAGGAACGCGAACAAGCCAGCGAACCAAATCTCAAAGAGACGGCTCCAGTGGCAACTGAAATGAGGACGCAAACTGCAATTGAAACTGATACAGAAATAGAAACCGAAATCGAAACGGCAACGAAAACGGAAACGGAAAAGGCAACTTCAGACACAACTGAACCAGAAGTGGATGAAACGTTACCGTCCACCAAGGCGCCAAGCAAGGAGGCGACGAACGGCAAACGACGACATACGCGTCGCGATTCTGTGATGCCCACGGCCAATGGTCAGATATTAAATCTGCATTACATGTACAGTTTCATGCAGATGATTGTCTTCACACTAATTGGCCTGACCGTGCGCAAGCTCTTCTTTCTCAGCTTCACTCAGGGCTGTGTTATAGCGCCCACGGTATGCTCAAAGATTTGGTACCATCGACAACGCAATATCTTTTGGTCTGTCTCTCTGGCCGTCTTCATGCTTAGCATGTTTGATCCGGGCATGGTTGTAAGTGAAAACTCTTGAACACAGTACTGTACACTCTATTTGCAATCCATATATACTTTCCACTTTGCAGAACATACGTGAGGAGTATTTTCCCACACGCCACACCCAACCGTCAGATGATCTGGAAGGCATGCTTGAGTGGATCAAGTTAAACACAGAACGCGATGCAGTATTTGCAGGGCCCGTAGAGATAATTGGCACCGTGCACCTGACCACCAAGCGGCCGATAGTAAATCATGCGCATCTCGAGATGCGTCAAATGGCGTAAGTCTTAACCACGTAACCGTTATCTCTTATCTTAATTAATAACCCACTTCACAGTGAACGAACGGAGCATGTCTACTCGGTGTACAGTCGCCAGCAATCATCGGAAATTTACAATCAATGCACACAACTGAAAATCCAATACTTAATCATATCTCTGGACGAGTGCAGCAACGAAGTGCAGTAAGTTTATTCCCACTTAATAGCTAAATATTTTCAATTGACACTTGGCTTTTGTCTTTTCAGGGATGACTGCGACATCTTGTCCATTTGGGATGATAAGCAGCCAGCCTTTCGCAAATATCCGCAATTTTGCCACGAGCTCCTGAACAAGAATGTGCCCAGCTTTTTGAAGGTTTATGCCAACGAAAACTATGGCATCATTAAGATGTTCTCCCAAAGTGTGCAGATCAATTTGAAGCACAACAAAATGCCCGAAATGTCCATGTGAGACAGACAATAGGCCCAACCAAATGTAACTATGGGCTACAAGGCAAATGTGACTAGTATATTTTAAAAGTATAATTAACTGTATTAGTGTTTAGTAGTGGGTGAGTAGGCGTACACAGATACCCTCTAAATGAAATGTTGACACCAAAAACCAGCTAAAACTAAACAAGTTATTAAAAAATATAAAATATGTTTTAACAGAACATAAACACACATAAGTAAATGTGTGTATATGTTATCTACATGTGTATGTAATTATTTACATACATTGCCTTGCATTTAAGACGCGTACGACTTTTGTTCTGTTATATTCAGATTTTATTTGGAATGCATTCCCCTTCCATTATATTTGCGTGTACGGTTTAAGTTAAGTTTAGCTATTGATTCGACTATATAATTCGCGAGTTTCGAAGCTGTAGGTGCTTCATCCATTTCGCGCGTTAAGTTTAAACTAAGCTTTTTACATATTACAAATAAGCCACACAGACACAGACATCCGTTGGGTGTTCATATTTATGTATGTATATGTATGCATTTGGTCCCTGCTAAAAAGAGAATGATGACCTCCGAGAGTATAAATTATAGAAAAGCTCCTGAAATAAAATTTAACACATACAAATTCAATTCAATTTTTAGTTTATTTGATGGTTCTTGCTCTTGTTAAAATGAAGTAAATAAACACTTTTCGTTGGTTTACTTAATGTAAACTTAATTTTATTTCATTTGTTCTAGTGTGTTTTGGTGTGTGTATATGTTGTTGTGTGTTGTTGTTCTTAATATTTTCCATTTGCTTTTAACAATAGTTTTTTTTTTTATTTTTTTTTTACATATTTCACTGTTAGTTTACAAAAAGCATAAGAGCTTTGAAGTTATCTAGATTCTAAACTCAGAGCGCGGCTGTTTGTATGTACACAATTACGCTATATATACACAGATCTTGTATACTATTGGAGCACTGGCTTCTCCAGAGAGAAGCGGTTGAAAACTTTGCGTAATCAGAACGATAAACTTGAAGCAATGCACTACTTATACGCAGTTGAAGGCTTAAGCGCGTTTCTATGCACTATTTATATGTATTAGGGTCTCCCATAAATGAAATATGTGCGTTAAGTGTGCATTTCGAAGTTTAGACTGAGTCAGCATGATTTTTTGTTTTGGCTTCTTTCTTTGTTTAACATTCAAGTTTGACTGTAAGGCGAGCAGTGAAGCTGGAATACCGTAATATGAAATAAAAAACAATAATAGTATAGTATGTATAAGCATAGCAATCAGGCCAAGTGTCTTAACAGTTAGCTACAGTCTTTCTTACTTTACATAATATAAATAAGTTTGTATATTAAAATATATGAACATTATACATATTATTTATACAATCAAGAGTAATATATTTCAGTTTTGTGCTAGTTGGAAATCCCATTTGTTTTATCTTGTGGGGTATTAAACTGAACATGACTCTACAAGTCAATCATAACAATTTTATTATTGTTTTCTTTTTCATTAATCTTGGTTGTGTTTTTTGGTGTGTTTTTTTGGTGTGTTTTTTGGTGTGTGTGGAAGCAATTGCTTATTAATTGTTTTCAGCTATATAAGCTACTCAGTAAATATGTATATTGTATATATGTATATGTATATATATCATATTTGAGTTTTTGGGGTTCTTCCTGTAAATTATGTAGCCCTTAATTAAAACTAAAGCACAAGGCATCGCCATTTCAAAAACTTTAAAAAACTTGTTCTTAATAATCATAGATATTGAAATCATAACTTTTACATTATATCATGTATTCAATAACAAAGTATGCACATATGTATATATGTATGTATAAGTATGTTTTGGTGCGCGCTACAGTGCAAAATATTTGCTTAACTATAAAATTCATTCACAGTTGTTTGTTTTGTTATCATTTTTGTGATTTTTCGTTTTTGATTATTATTTTAGGGATATAAAAACACATAATTGTAAACTGGAGACTGCAGCTTTAAGCAGCAATTTAAATTTCGTTTTCTTTTCTTCTTCTTTTTGTTGTTGTTGCTATTTTCACTGGAATTGCTAACTAACCAATACTTTCCAAGGTTTTCTACATTTCTTTGGATATTCTAAAAGGGAATGTTCTTCAGCAAATTTCTGATGAAGGCTCTTTTAAAATAACAATAATTAGCTACTTAATTAAAATACATAAAGGCTTGTGTGTGTATGATTTGATTCGATTTGATTTTGCTATTTACGAGTACATATTAATATATCCTTACAATGTCCTTCAATTGAATTTGTATCACAGCAATATATTTGTAATTTTATTATGTAAAATACACATGTTAATATGTATGAGTGTGAGTGTGTGTCTCGTCTCTAACCTGACCAAAATATGAGCTCGAAATGTTTGACACTTCTTTCGAAAACTAATGTCAGATATACTGTTTGCTAACGTTTTTAGTCAACTTTGATGAAGCATTTGTAATCTGGGTTATCTACAAAAGTGAGCTTATCTATGATGGAAAATCGATTGAAGTTTCAAATTAGCAAAACTAGCCAGGGATTTGTTTCCATATTTTAAAGTTTCAGTTCTTCTTGAAGCTCACTTTAAAGTAGAAAGTCTAATCGTTTACAAAAGCTAATAATAACAATAACTAAATATATTTGAATGCGATTTGCCCAAAGCGTTTTTAATGCGAACCTCAAATAGCGTTTAGTAGTATATAAAATCTTGTGTTTTGGCAAATGAAACCTAATCAAATAATTATTGGCCTATAGCACAAATTATAAGCTCTACATAGTATTGTACAAACATATGTGTATATGGGTTAAACCGTAGCACAATCAACAACCTAAATAGATCTGTATATGTGTAGCCATAAAATTGGACTTTGTACTTTCAAATACGTTTAATGGTGGGACCTGTAAAAAACACGGAAACTTTACGCTTCAATTTTTCCATTGTCGGCTCCACGTCCTCATCGTAATCATCATCCTCATCGTAATCATCATCATTGTATTGTTGTCCATTGTGGCCAAAGATGACGGTGCGCGTAAATGGCGGCACGCTCTTGGCTCCGTCGGATTCACTGAAACCAGGATTAAGTATTATATTCGGTATAAGCTCAATGCTGTCCCAACCATCTTGAAGTTCTAAAGGCCGCACACAGGGACAATAGATTTCGATGAAATTGAGCGTAGAAGTATACAACAGACAGATTGGGAGAGAGAGAGAGAGAGAGAGAGAGAAAGAGAGAGAGAGACAGAGAGAGAGAGAAAGAGAGAGAGATAGAGATAGAGATAAAGATAGAGAAATCGAAAAGAAATTAGATAAATAGACAAATAGACAAATAGTAGAACAAAAAAAATTGCATTAGAATTAATTTGACATCAATTACATTACCTTTATGATTCATTATTTTGTTAAGTTGTTTAATACATGTTTGTTAATTGAGTGAGAGTGCGTAAGAGTATTTGTGTGAAGGTGTGAGTCGGGAAGGCCACATTATTTACAGCCTTAGAACAATCTATGGACAGTGACAGATAGGCGCACTCATTAATTGATGAGCGGCTGATGCTGCGTATACTCAATTTGTGTCTTTGTCTGCTCTTGTGGATGTGGATGTGTGTGTGAGTGTGTGTGTGTGTGTGTAAGATTACAAGCACATATACAATATATGTATCTAACAATAAGCACATAACTCAAAATAATACGAGACTATAGAATATTCGGGTAAATGTATTTTTGTTCTTTCATTAACATTATAAGGATTTGAAACATTAAATATGCGTGCCAGAATAAAAGCACATAAAATGGAATTAAATTACTTCTTATGTATACATAGTTTATAACTGATTACATTTAGTTTACAACATCAATAAAGCGTTTATCTAACATTTAGCAATAGTACATAATTATTACACATTCAAATTCATTTTAACATGAACAAGGAAACGACAGCAACAAAGCAGGAAAGCATAAATCATATCACCGATCTTATCACAAGCTGACAAGTTTCCCATAGGTATTTAATCTTCATTTTCAAAGAATTTATAATTTATTTGTTCATTTGCTTTTGGTCACCACTTAAAGCTGTTACATTTCTTCTTCTTTTTTTGTGTTTGTTGTTTAATATCCTTTAAAATACTATTCCACTATTGGTTTTGTGCATAGTACAGTTCTACTTATGATTACTAAGTGCGAATTAAAAGTGAGCCACCTATCACAGTTGTACCTAACAATTATATAGATTGATAAAATAGGAAGATCTTACGAATGGAATTTTAAAAATAAGTCTATATATGTTATTATATATGCACTTTATCCTATCTGATAATGTGAAAAATCCTACAAATTATATTAAATCTTATTAAACTTGACGGTGTCTTAAATTTGCATATTTTGCTAAGTTAATGTCAAAATTGTATACTACTAAATTGTCAACAGGACGTACTATGATTGGAAGTGCTTTCTTCAGCCATGTTGCCATATGGTACAACAAAGTTTGTCTATCTTTATAGCCAACATTTTAAAGGTAAAGAAGAACAAACAATACAAACTTTGAATTTCTAAGCAAATAAGAAGCCTATATTGATCGTACTTTACATCAAAGTCATTTGCCATTTACATAGGTGTATCAAAATGGTAATCTACTATACATGAGATTAACCAAACCTACAAAAAGCAAGCGAAACACATGGCTTAAGACATCCAAAAAAACTGGAGACACGGATTCTTTGTCATCTTATTAGAATCGACAAACACTTTGATAAGTGGATGTGCTTTGCAGCCAAAGATGTTTACTATAACTGGTGACAGCAAATAGTCCACGACGATATTTAATATGTAAGCAAAAATATATTTCCATATATACATGTATGCGTTTAAAAAGCAAATGGGTCTTGTTGTATTTTTATACTCTGATACCCATAGATTAATAAGGGTTTATTATTCTTTTTCTATTTTTTTTTTTTGTAATTCCCTGCTCATTTACTGTCGGCAAATGAATTTCCTGAACAGGACTGACCAAGACTGCGTAAGCACTTAGCCCAATCCACAAGCCACCTCAGGGGCTTTTTGTCTACGTATTATTACAATGGTATCAGAGTACTGCGTAGTCGGCTGTTTCCGACTGCAACGTTCTTATTTGATTTTTCACTTAATTTGTGGTTGATTAGCATCAGACGAACGTTGTTAAACACATAACTTAAAATTATATATCAACACCAACAACAACGACAACAAAATGATATATGCATATCATGTAAATAAAAAACAAAAAACGAACAACAAAAAAACAGCGGGCAAATAAAACCAATATGCATAAAAGAAAACGTTTTTAATGGGCACTATTCACACTAAATATTGCATGAATTTGTAAAAAAAAAAAAAACTGTTATGCGTATTGGGCCCATTAAAAAGCATTCGATTTGTGTGTATCTTGAGCATTTACAATACTGGCTATATGATAATGCAATGACAACAACAATAGTTAGCATCTTGTGCACTACAATAAGTTGCATTAGCAACAGCATCAGCATCAGCATTTTGTAGTTAATGTTGCTGTTGCATTTATTTGGTATCTTTGCGTATCGTTTCACGGCTAAATTTCTGGCAACAATAACAACAACATGATTTAATACCCAAATCATAATTCATCGAATGTTAATATATCGCTGTGTTTGCTGTTGCTAGTGTCAATTATGATTTGGATTTTGTTATTGTTATTGCCGTTGGTGAATTTGCTGTACCCATTTGCGTTGATTGATAGCACTCCTTAGAGAGCACAATACAGAGTCCAATGGCTAATATCACAAGTGTTCCCAGCACTATACTGACGGCGACTATCCAAATGCGTGGATCGAAATTATCTAAGTCGGGTTTTATAAGGCGTATGAGATCTGCAAGGTCGTCGAGCGTTTTGAGATAGATAAGAAAAAGAGAGATGACAACAAAATTACCAGATACAAATACTTGACCAAATTGTACACATTAAAAAGTATATTAAATGAGAAACGAAAAAAAGAAAATCCAATACCAAATAGATCTATAGGTAATACGATCAAATAATACAATAAAGTAAGTTCTAATGCCCGTACCATACATAAATAACTAAATACACATCAGGCACAGGGATCACCTTATCACCACATCATAGTTGGCACTTGAGATGAATGTGATATGTGAATGGCAACCCTGCACGCGCCGTAGAGTTGACAAAAGTAAACAATTACTACACATAGATGTTTGTACGAAAGATGTACGATAGATACGACAGCAAGAAAACTATCGAATATTTAGTATAGCCTAGCTATAACTATTATTTGGATTATTATTAATATTTATCGGATTAGTTGCCTGGCCCGATTGGGCAATTTTCTTGATAGATTCTAGTTGTAGTACGGAAATTAAAATGAATTCCTGATTGGCTGCTTACCCTCTTCCTTGGTCTCCGGCAATGTTGTCACATTGGTGGTGACCACTTCACCGCTGCCCAACTCATTGTTGGCCCATATTCGAAACTCGTATGTGGTGTTGGGGGCCAAGCGATAGACCTCCATTTGTCGCTGCGCCCCGGAAGTGATTATGTACCGGAAATGATTGTTCGTTTTGTACAGATTAAGTACGAAGCCCTATTATACCATACTCACCACGTTGGGCGCTATATTAATGGGATCCATGCGACTCCACTCGTTCTCAAAGCTGGCATTTGCCGGCGGGGTTTTATACGAAACATTGCGAAATTCAGCGGTAAAACTGCGCACCGGGTAGCCACCGGATTGAGTCTTATTGAAACGCCAAATGAGAAAGCCCAGTATGGTGGACGCCTTAAAATAGAGCTGTGTCACCGGGCCAGGTGTGGTGCGCACCGTTAGCTTGATTCGTTGAAAAGCCTGATACGCTCGCTCCTCCTCCTCCACCTGCTCCACTTCATCCTGAATGGCTGGCTGCTTCTGCTGCTGTTCATCCTGCTGTTCCCCTTCCAATGATTGCTGCTGCGGTGAGGTAGTCGCTGGTATTGTGGTTGTGACTGTGGTCGCTATTATGGATGTTGTTCTCGTTGTTGCCAGTGGCAGCGTCGCAAAGCACACATAAATGCCGCTATCCGAAGTATTCACATTGCGCAACAACAACACACGCCCAGTCTATAAAAGGGGGAAATGCATGAAACTGTCGATTATCACGCCTTCCTTACATTGTTGAATTAATCAATTAATTAATTAATCAAGCAATTAATTAGTTTTAATATTAACCAATTTAGTCTGAAAATAGGAATGGGCTTACTGCGCAACATCCATTTGCCAACAAATGCTTTGCTTTGTTAAAATGCAATTTTTTGTTTTTTTGTATATTTGCATACCTGAATAATGGTGCTATTACTGCCGTGTTCCTTAACCCACATTATACTGCCCTCTGCTATACATGGTATGCTGACATTACCGCCCTTATCCGTCGCGTATTCGTTGTACTTGATTGTGATACTGAGCACCGTTAGCACTGCAATATATAAAGTATTTACAAAATTCATTCAGATGTAGGCTAATATTATCGGTTCAAGGTGCTTAGCTTAACTATTTACAACGAAAACAGTCTGAGTATAAGTACTCAACAAAAAATCCTCAATAAATTACGTATACGTATCTTTCAGCATTTAGTAAGATTTAGTGAAAGTTCTTAGACAGTCGAATAGTAAACATATACAAAAAAAAAAGGAACTTAATAAATTAGGTATACGTGTATGTAGAATATTATATATTTATCACAAGTTATTAGTCCCAGTTCCTACACGGTATTACACAGTCGACCAGTAAATATGCAACGATGGCGTTGCCTCGATTGAATGCAATTAAAATGCTTCAATCAGCAAACGCAATCATTAGGCGCACTACGATTGATTGACTTGATATAGTCAACACACAACCATGTGTTTTTGGCCCGTGAAACTGGACAAAGAGCGTTTAGTCAAGTGGATCATGGTGAACCGGACGGATCATTTCCTGTCCGTCTACTTTCGGGGACTGGCGCTCAGCTGCAGTGCACAGAAGCGATCGGTTCAACGGCGGCTTACTGCCTATCTGGCGCTGGTGCTCGGCGAAATGCTGCTGCAGTCTTGGCGCTATTTTCGCAATGACTGGCATATTAACGACTTGAAGGAACAGCAGCAGGAGCGATATCAATTCAATGCCTTTGCCAAGATCATTGATGTAATGAATGTGGCCTATCTGGTGGCCCATATGCTGATGGTGTCGCAAACCCTCCTCTTGCGCAATCGAGAGCGGCGACTGTTGGCCGAGTTGCCGCCCGTGAGACATGCCGGCGCTCTGATCAATGTGCGCCTCCATGTGGCACTTGAGTGCACCGTTACGGGTACAGCCCTTGCTCTGGTCATTGTCAACTCGGTGCAGGGTCAGCGCATTCAGCTGTTGACCAATTTGCGAAACCTGCTCACCACGCAGGCGGTGCGGGCGCGTTATCTGCAGGTGACATTGCTGGTGGTGCGCCTGGATACTCTACTATTGAAGCTACAGCAGCAGGTGGCTAATGGACGCCGAACCGATCTGGAGCTGCGAGCTTCATATGCCCATATTGTGCAGCTGGCCCGCCGCTTATCCCATTTGTATGGATTCTCTGTGCTGATGATGAACATACTCTGCATTGGCGACTTCATTGTGGTGTTCTATGCGTATATTATATTGTGGCAGCTGGATGCCACAAAGGTTACTTGGCTCCTGATCTGGCAGACGTTTAACGTCATGCTGCCCACAGTAACAAAAATTTGGATACTGTGCGCCGTCTGCCATAACTCCATCCAGCGCGTAAGTTGTCCAAGTATGCCCTCACTAACCGAATCTCATTTGTCTGCAGTCACAGCAGCTTCTACGGCAGATAACATCCCGGAGAACCGCAACACGCAACCAAGTCGATGAGTTCTCACTCCAGATTATGCAGAATACCGTCCAGTTCGCAGTATGCGGCATCTATCAACTGAATCTGAAGACAATGGCTGGGGTAGGCTCTATCGGAGGCGAAGTCGCTTCAATTAAGAAGTATTCATTTCACCATATTCTCTTCTTGCAGATGTTTCTCTTCATCATTGAAACCATGGTCATATTTCTTCAGTTTGTCCAGCTAAGCAATTTCATGGGTTGAAGCCAAGTTCGTGAGAATTATCTAGATAGATAGTACGGATGGCTACCTAACCACGAGTGTCCCGTAGAACAAAGAAATTCAATCTGCGACATACTCTGTTTGCAATATTTCTTTGAAAAATTCGAAAATTTATCTTTGTTTTGCTTAGGGCCGAAAAAATAATGAACCTTTTTTTTCGTACACCGCGGCTCTTTCTCACTGTGGGAATAAACCAAAAATAATATATAAGCAATGTGGTTGTGAAACTTTATACAGAGCAATCGATAAAAAAAAACTACATCACGCTATATGTACTATAGTTAGTATTGGCCAAAGCAAAATCAATAGCAGCAAAAATGCATACAACTGCAACATGCTGTCGGAAGTTTAAATATATATTTAATTAAAAAAGAAACTTGTCTTTTGCAATCTGCTCGCATATGAAACTGTCATTTTTCAGAACTGCGACACGCAGCATTTTATACATTTTCCACCACAACTCATATCGATAGCATCACAAAAAAAAAAAAGTGGATTGGGACCATTTATACCCCAAACACATTAAAAAGACATCTCTGACCCAATTTGTACTTTTACCCAGCTGCCCGTTTATTATATTCATCCAATCGCTATTCCACATATGTTAGCAAGTGGCTAAGAACTTTCAATTTATATGTGGCAGATATCCGAATTCGTGATTTATGAGGGCTGTGTTGGGCATAGCCAAGAAATATTCTGAGCAATCTTAGGAAGAGATTCTCAGTAATCTATATTACAAGCTTGATAGCTCTACCACAGTAATACTTGGAGTTATAGAACTTTTAAGGGTGGGAGCGGATGTGACTATACAATTTTTTTAATGGATTTTTGAAGTTATTATTTGTGTAGCATCTTCCAAATTTAATGAAAACAACCAAATTTAGCGAATCTAACTTTAGAATTGTGGAAAATATGTGGTTTTATCGATTTGAAGTTTTCGATATTATCGATCTCAAACCCCACAATTCTAACAAATTTGTCTGAGACAGGCATAGATGAGCATGAGTTCCAAGTTTTAAGTCCATGGACTTAGGCATACATACATACTGAGTGCAACAAAAGCAATAGGACATGTTCCACACTTCTGACTCGCCCAGAAATGCTGATCTAAAACAATGCTTCGTTTCACACTCCATGACACAATTACAGTACCCTGCTCTGGGTCCGCTCCAATCAGTAAAGATTATCAGTGCATGCAAGCATAATAATAAGCAGGCGCACAGTGGCCCAACAGTTGCGAACTTGCCATCAACAGGAATGTCAAATTCGGGATGTGTGTCACACCGAAGTAAAGCTTGTGGCAAGCTATGTAGCAGAAACTGAGCACACGGCTTAGTGTCAGATAAGGCAACTGATGTAAAGCTGTAACTACACATCTGAATTTGTATGTGTGCGTGTGTAAGTGTCCGTGTACAGTGTACACTGTGCAAACATGCAATTATGTAATGTGCAGCTGAGAAGTATGCAATGCAAACTGTATACCGGTCTGTTGCTGACGTCACTTAATTGATTTTAGCGTGCGTCAATTACAATTGCAGTTTCACTTTCACTTTCACTCACACACTTCACCACTCCAGCCACTTAGTCAAACCAATGTGCCAATGTGCGTCCATTAGTTGTGTATGTGTGTGTTGTTTAATTAGCTCCCTTTGGGGTTTTCGACTGTGCTTCAACCACAGCAGAAGATGCTTGGATTAGAATTCGTATTAAAATAAACTGAGGTCGATACCCAAATGGCGAAAGGTGTAGTTAAGATTCTTGAGCGCTCAAGTACATATGAATCGCGATAGGAACATACAAATTTTGGCAACGAGCCTGTTTATTATTTTATTTCAATTAAAAGTCGTAATGATCATTTTATATTTGACTTTTTAGATCAGATGAGTGATGAACATGTGTATAAGCCAAGGTTGCAGTCAGGTTAAAAACGACTCAAGTTCACTTTTTACCTCTGCTTAATACAGTTGAAACCACAAATTATTCATATGAGGTTGAGGTTCTTTTCCTTTGGGGGAGGGAGGGGGCAGTCCCATTAAAATGAAATGGTAGGCTTAAAGAACCAAAGTAAAAAACGTTTGCCAATACATTTCATCATTGCAAAAAAAAAAACAATGTAGTTACGATTTTAAGACACCCTGTAACAAAGTATTGTTTGAAGTGCATGCAAAGCTAACTGCGACGCAGTTTAAATACAACTGATTACGTTAAATCTGTACGTCTCAAATAAATATATAAGTATGTTAATTCGAAAGTTAACTGTGAAACTTTCATCACGTTGTGCTACATACAATCAAAATTGTATGACGAGTAGTTCCAGGGTATTTTGTAGCGCTGCGGAATGCTGAATGAATGTCGTCGTGGGCGCAGCCCCATGAAATGGAAGAAAGTGGGAGAAATTATTTTTCTTTTATATACACTTGAACTGGATGTTGCCATCTTGTAGTGAGATATGTAACGACGAAACTCACGCGATATGAGTTATTTATCTTTTGCAAAAAAAAATTGTTAAACACTTCCAAGCGTTTCGGTTTTCCTTAATTAATAACAATAATTAAATAAAAAATTATAACAAATTTAAAATGGACTTTGTTATGCAAGGGCATGTTATCGTCGGCGTGCCAAAGATTGATTGTATTTCCCGTTGTATTTCATTTCGCTCTCCTTGGAATTCAACCGTGTCCATGCCGGTCGATTCGACGTTTTTCAACGGCTGTTGGGCACGGAGTCCACTTGCATTTGGTGGCCACAATGTTGTTACCCAATTGACAAGCATTTTGCTTGTATTGCAGGTAAAGCAAGCGATAAAACTATAGTCAGTGGCGGACAAGTGATACCCTGTATACAAGTATACAAACTGGTAAGAACTTTAAAGCTAGTTTGCCAATTCAATTTGAAGACTGTTGCAAGTTGCAACAAACCCGCAAAATGAGCAAATAAAAACGTTTTACACTTGGAAATACTAACTATTGCCTTTGCTATATCATACACTACTGAACCAATTGTATATGTGCAGAGTATAAACATTAATATATGTATCTACAGGAAAATACAATGATAACAATATATATGTATTTATTATGACGCACAAGTCGTTTTAGTTTATAGAAATGCAGCATGCTTTTCTACAAACAACTGGAAATCACTTGTTGTTCTCTCAAACTAAATACAATAGCTTAAGAAAAATATTCCTGAGGCGTTGTCTGAAGTAATAAAGTGTTAAAGTTTCTGACTCAAGAAGACTTGTTGGTGCCACATTGCATTGTGCCCAGTCAGCAAAATTGGCTGCAAATAACAATAACAGCAAGCAATAATAAAAAAAAATAAAGTAAAACAGACACGTTTGCCAAGCACTTGGTAATTCTAATCTTATCCCAGAATTAATTAAAATTCATAATTAGCTAACGTGCAAGTCGTTGCTGGGAACAACGAGGTCAGAGCAGCGGCTAATCCGGAACCACTTGCTCGTTGTCCGGATGCCAAATTGCCATGGAAGCAGATGGAGCTGCTGATGCAGATGGAAAAAGAAAGCGAAAAAAGGGTGCTTGCTCTGACTGTGGATGGACGTCAATTCTCATTTAAGCCTTGTTTGTGCTGCTTGCTGTGTTTTAACCAAACATTTGATGTTGCATGTTGCGAGGGTCGTATATGAGATGTTATGGTTAAAAAGTTGCTGAATTGCTTCAAACTAGCGGAACTACTGGATTATGTGCAATTCCAGTGAAATATCCATATCCAGATAAGAGCATGATCTCATAAAAAACTAAAATGTATTCTTACAATCGTTAATTGCTGGGTGACCCATATAATTTATAATTTAAATTTGTCTTTCGCTGGCTTCTTCATAGAGTTCGTCCGACAGGATTCGAGAAACTATACAGTATAAAATAAAAAACACTTGACCTGGTTTTGGCTAAAGACATATTCGTTTTCTTATAAATACAAATACAAATTTATATTTATGAAAATTTGATTTATGTCGAAATTTTTAATGTAATATAATAATAATAAAATGCGCTTGACTGAAGCAGTTGGAGTTCAAAATTATTGATAATGTCTTAATATGCCAAACAAATATATTAATCCCAAAGATTCATGTATAACCTAGTCAAGAGTCCGTTGCTTATTGTGTTCGCGTGAGTAACTTCAATAAGAAAGAATGCTCTAGTCGAGAGAGCTCGATTAACAAATATTGCATTGCCGTGACAAAAACTCACGTTCAAGCAGCGCTTATGGGTTATTATATAATATTTTCAAAACGGCAAGTTTCCTTAAAATCGATAAGATTCATTTGGGGATATATCAAATATAAAACTTATCTTCGTTTAGCTCCAAAGTGACCCGCACAGCATAGTAAAGTAATGTCTTTGTCGCTGCTTTGAATACGCTTTGCTGTTGTATGATGTGATTAACGGATATACAGTGTATAAGAACAATAAGAACAATAACAACAACTACACCTACAACGCGGGAAATTCATAACCTTGCGTCGAATGGAAAATCAATGCAAAATCAAAAGTCCCACATACGACCCGTGGCAGGCGATGTGTCGTCACGTGTGAGAGTGTATTTATATAAAGAACAAAGAGTGCCAGCTTTCGGATGCCTCACCTTTTGAGCTTGACACTGAAATTTGGCACCAGTGGCTTTAGAACAAAAATAGACGAGCGAAAATAGTACCGGCTGTTGTTCTTGATTGCTTGTAAGGGTTAAGTCCTAATTACCCTTTGTTTTGCTGCATGCCCCTTCCGTGCAGGTGCGGTCTTTGTGAAGAATATGAGCGCATCTCGAAACAAGTCGACAGGCTCTCAACCAAGCATCGAAACTAACCATCGCCAACTAACTAGACAAAGGTCAGGGCAGAATCGTCTGCCCCTAAAACCAACCCAAATCAGGCAGGCAGATAGCTGCCTCAAACAATCGCACAATAGCTTAGCTGTATGACAGCTGAGTTAACTCTAATGCACAATGCAGTTGGGGTTGATGCGCCTGGCTCTGGCTGTTTGTCGTCCTATTGTTCTAAGCGGGATGCAATGGTTGTTCTCAAACTGGCATTTACAACGTTCATGCATAAATCATACAAAGGACCACAATTGAAAGACCATTGCAACCAGCCAACAAACTTTATTTGACATGACTAAAAAAGGACATCAGCTGGCAGCTTTGATCATAAATTTTAGAATGTGCATAGAGTTTGAAGAGCTACAAAATCGCAAGCAACAATGAACATCCATAAAAAGAATTGCACTTTGCAAATTGCAAATTGAGTAAAGTTATGAAATATGACCTTTAAACATATTCACATGTTTATATATATGATATGAGATCGATAAAAACATTTTAGTTACAAATATCACTTCAACTTATAAATGAGAAGGATTTCGAACAATTACATACAATTGTGTAATTCTTTTACATCATTTTGACAATAATAAAAATAAGTAAAGAAATATATTGATGAAGTATTTTTGATTTTACATGCAAGTAATGTATTTTTATTAATATATTATCCTTCAGCTAAGAAATTATAATTTATATACTACTCTATAAGGTTGCTTTTAACTTTGCTACTCATTTTAGTTACATATTTGACGTGCATCGCCAACTGTCTACCTGCTGTCATTGAGCTAAAACTTTGGAAATGGCGAGCTCATATGCACACTAATTAATTGTGGCTGCTACTGTTTAAGTTCCAAATCAAAAGCAAACATTCGCAGAGCTGTCGAAATTGAATTTCCACACTCATTCTGGACTAGACGCGGTTTTTGTTATCACTGTTGGCTGTCCAAAAACTTTTTAATTAAAAGTAAACGCATAGGCCACCAGATGACCGCGAAGGGAAGCCAACAAAAATCGTTTCAGATAGCAATCGGAGAATAATAGTATTATGTCAATTACTATTACACTGCCTCGCCCACACGTCCCAGTTGTTGCATTCCCCATACTAGCAGCTACACTAGGACGGACCAAAATGTGCTGCACGGTATGGAGTCAAAGGTTAATACGTAATTTACATGCAAATCGAGGTGGCTTGGAGTAAAATAAACAGCAAGCAGGTACAAGTAGCAGTTTAGAGTGTATCGTTTATTTAGTCAGTCCAGATTTACCATCGAACAATAGCAACAGCAACAGCAACAGCAATAACAAAACCAACTACACGTCAAGTCTCCAATAGCTTGCACAATGCCGTTAGATTTAAGTTAATTCAACGACAATTTAGATTGAAAATAACCTCTTTAAAAATTCGAATAATTTACTATATGTATTTTGTGCATCTGTTATACACCGAATTGGTTAGTTACTTAGTATTTACTACTTTGCAACCCAATAAATTTCGACTGACAAGCTATGCTGCAAACATTTGGGCAAGGCAATGTCGGCAATTCCAATTCCAGTGAGAACCTGGCATACTCTGAATACTCTCTGTAGCAACTCAATTTTAGCACTTTACCTGACTCTAACAGAGTACAAAAATATTTAGAAAATTTAGAACTGTGTATAAGGCATCTGGTAGTTGAATATTCTCTATGGAAAGCGTCGTAAATTTGTTTAGCTAAAATTACAAAACCAAAAAATGTTTCAGCTGTGATTATAAAGTTGTCCGGCTCTTAGTCAATGTTTGCCATTTATTTATTAATTTCAATAAATACAAAATTTCATTGCAATAAGTGCTTAAGCATGAAATTCAATTTATAGCTGCCAATTTGTTAAACTTTTCTGCAATAGATACCATATTGATACCAGCTTAAGAATTAATTTATCATATATTCCTTTTTTATTCGAAGTATTCCTAGACAGAGGAAATGTTATCCAAGATTTACGACTCCCATGGCGTAAGGTAAGTAAGGATGTATGAAAATACTTTAAATATGTTTGGTGCTCAAGCAAAATTAATTGCTTTTGGCCAACCCGTCGAATTGGGTTAGGTTCTCACAGGAAGCCCATATGTGCCGAGGGGCCCAAACTTATAACAAATTATTAATTATGAAAGCCGAGGAGGGTAAAAATTGCAACTGAGTGTAACGACACGTATTCACGGCATGTCTTAGAGCTGCCTGCCTGACACGGCGTATGAGCAACAATTGTGAAATTTCTATGGAATATTTGATCGATTCGAAGGCAGAGGCTTTGTCAGTTTGTTTATTTGCTCTTTGCCGTTTGCTGCAGGCAGATTATGTAAAGTAGCGACAAAGAGCGCGGCATATGTTGTGCGTAGTATTATTCCGTATCACTTTAGGATTAACTTACCTTGGGTGAACAATAATAAATTGAACGATGACAGCGCTAGCACGTAGCTGGATGTGGAAGACATGCTTCCATATTACACTTTACATAAGCGTTGTTGTTGGCCTTGCCGATGCCGGCTGGAAATCAGCAATGGGTAATATGAAAAGCGAAAGTAAGTAAAAACAAAATAACAAAAACAAGTATAACAAATGGTAACTCGTGACAAAAACGAGGGGCGGGGAGACGAGGCGCCAAAGACTGCCACACGGCTAAACGCTATTCTACGCTTGTTCTCGTTGCTATTGTTGTTATTGTCGCCTCACTGGTGCCTCCTTTTGACGTAACTTTAACTTCGTCACTGGGCGATTCTAACGTGCAGCACACCACAATAAAAAAAAGGCATTGAATCAATTAAACAAATGCCAAAATAAAGAAAACATCAACCAAAAAAAAAAAAAGGAACAACAAAAAACGTTCGTGTATCTTTCGGGCCTTTCAATGCGTTCACACTGGGCTTCGGTGTTGTGGATAGATTGTCGTTGTTATTATTATTAATGCTGTTTTTAGTTGTGGCTATTGCTATTGCTTTTGGTGTTGTTGGTGTTGGTGTTGGCGTTGCTTGTTCTTTTTGCTTGCGCGGCACGGGCGTCCGTTGCGTTCGAGATACGTTGCTCGACTAAACTGCTGCTTAGCGTCGTGGTTACGACTTCAGCTTCGTGTTTGACCCATCGCCAAATGCGAATGCGAATGTGAATATGGATATGGGAATGTGTGGGTGTTGGTGTTGGTGTTTCTGCTGGTGCTGGTGCTGGAGTCCTTTTAGTCCGCTCTCCCTATTGCCACTCACGCGCATGCTGCTAGCTACGCAAAGGACACAAATAATGTGGGTGGCACGACTTGCCCAAGGTGGAGTCAAATCATTTGGGTTATAGATTTTGTTGCTGTTGATTTTATTGATGTTATTGTTATTGTTGTTGTTGTGGTCAACATTCGCAAACATCGCGTGCTAGATCTGAGTCCAAAAGTTCTGCAAATCTTTAACCTTCAGATGTATACGAAAGTTATCGACTGATTTTTTTGACGTGTTTCGTGGCTCAATAGCACCACTTACCCTGGCCACCAATAATCACATATATATTATAAGAACTGCAAGCAAACATTTAATCAAAATGAAAGCACAAGACAATAAATGGCTCGAAATAAGCACATATTTTACAGTTGATGCTGAAAAATATATCAAATTGAATATCGATATAAGTAGAAGAATTATAGTTTTACCCTCAGAGACAGGTTGTCAATAGCTCTAATATCTATGCGAAAACAAAAATCTCCCAAGAATTATTTCTGTATATTTGTTCGAAAGTAGGAATAAAAACATTAAAGAAAAGATTTTTAGTTTTACTCTTGTTTTTTGTATTAAGTTGCACTTTTGTTTTATTATGCGTCTGCAGACAAATTTATCTAATTATCTAATCATTTAATTTAAGATATACACATAATTATTATCAATAAATAAACAAATTAGATAAAACAAAATCTGTGGTTAAGTAAACATGATCTCCATTAAAAAAACCCTCAGATTTTGCTTTTCACATTTTCAACCTTAAATACATATATAGATATAAACCTATTCGTATGTATATGTATATATAAATATATATAAGTATACATATGCATATATGTAAGTAGTATTTTTCTATTTGTAAATAAAGTATTTTCAATGTTTGGATTTCTCTCTGTTAAGTCTGTTAATGACTGAGTGTATAATTTACTATTAAGCAAATATAGGAATATTAATTGTGATTTATTAAACAATCAAATTATATATAAAAAAAAAATTATAAGAAATAAAAATATATTTTATGTGGGTTGTAAATGCATATAAATTTCAGCTATTGCTTAATTTATGTATTTAAATATTAAAGATTGAAGCTTAACAGTGAGCAAACATTGTAAATAAAAAGTCCTGAATAGAATACATTACAGCAAATATTGTGAACGGAGTTGACATTTGATATTGATTTGATCGGATCAACGATTTGACGTCTGAATTATATTCATGTACTTAAGTGAAAATCATTTACTGGAATTTACTTAATTTCTTCTTTGTGTTGTTATATCCTAGAGAGTATTATAATTGTTTCCAACCCGACAAGGTATATATATTTTTGATCAGCATTACAAATGTAGCGTAAAAATAATGATATAATAATTCAAATAGTTTGTGTATAAGCGCAGTTGAGAATAACTATAATGTAAAGTATACGTAATAATAATACACACTTAAACAAAGAGCATGCAATGTGTTTTGAACATTGTATACAAAATGTTTTGGAAATGGTTTGTTGCCTGACACTGTTGGCTTTGCACGCCAATGCCAAAATTGTCAGACAGTATATGCATGTGAGAATTCTGTGCATAATGGCGGTTAGCAAACTAGTGAATAATTTACAATGAACTATTAAATACAACTCAAATTAGATGTGCTGACATGCAATCTATCATTTGCCAATTGATCACATGATCTTGACTATCGCCGTTTGTTGACGCGCTCAATGTACTTTGTCTTGTTGAGCGCCCGATTGCCCGAATTGGGATCCATCATGCGCTTCCAATCAGTTTGGCCAACAACAAAGCCAATCGCACGCATCTTTTGCTGTGCTCGCTTTTCCTCAATGTCCGCCCAACGCACCTACAATGGTTTAGACATTTGTGAGTATCATATGTCTAAATGGATAGAAAGAATATTGCTTTGTGGGAGCGACTTACGCGTTTCTTTCCATCGGCGCTGACACTGGGAGGTTCCCACTCGTCCAATTGTAGGTAGTCAGCAATGCTTGCTGTCTTACGCTTTTGCATTAGACGCTTCGTGCCATCGAGGCGTGCTGGAAGGGAAAAATAGTTTTGTATTACACAACCAATGTAGAGCAGTTGCTTTAATTTAACAGAACTTACCCAGATTTTCCTCCGTGGTGTCGTTTTCCCACTTGCTTTTCAGTAAGCCGCACTATATACAACATAACCAAAACACATGTCGCAAGAATTGTACAATAAAATAATATTTGTATTAGCGAAAGCAACGCTGTGGCTCACAACCTATCAAACGCACTATGCCCACAATGGGGCAATCGCTAACCCAACCCTGAGATGGCTAATCGGCTCACACTTACATCGTTGGCCGTAACGGCACTGTTGCTATCCTCGTCGTCGTCGTCGTCGTCGGTGGCAGCGGCGGGAGCGGCATCGGTGACTGCCTCATCCGGAGTAGCTTGCTCGCTGTCTGCATTATCATCCTGCAATGAACAAGCCGCAATAAATCAACAAAGGTTTGCTTGAAGAGCATTTCATTTGCCTTTACTTAGGTACTTAAATCATATTCGATATTTTGGTATAAAGTCGTTCTAGTTGTATTTCAGATATATAGATTGTGATTGTTTTGAAGTGTATATATAATAACGAAATGCAACTACATAATTGTGAATGGTATACCCAGTATTTATGTACGTATGTAGTCCCATACATATATATATATATACTAAAGACACTCACATATATATATATAGATATATACATATATATATATATATATATACATACGCACATAAACATATGTGACAGATTGACACATACATAGATTTGTGAAAATTATGAGTATTTCAGAGAAGCTTAGACTAAATAGTGGTTTTTAGACAATTGTTTAAACTGGCATCGCCAACTAAATGATACTCGTGCTTAGACTACAGCTCTTCGCATATATGTATAACAATATAACTACATATATATAGGTACATATATAATAACTATGCAGTTTGTGCAGCAAGCCACACACTGCTTGCCAGTGTGTCAGTGCCACACTCACTCAAACGCGCGCACACACACACACACATACACAACAGCTGCTGGCCAGCCAAACGCTGCCCAGGCAGTCAAGTGCTTCAGGTGCCTTTACGATTGAGCTGGATGGCCTGCATCGCAGACCGTGGGCCGTGGGCCGGGTTCCGTGTCGTTGCATTAGAGCATAGTTACCGTTGCCATGTCCTCTACATCTTCCATTTCAACCACATTCTCGAGAAGCGACGACACATCAAGTTTTATGTAGTGCAATGGCGTTGTACACCAATTTTCCAGAACAAAACGTATGTCCTCCTCGCTTCGCTGATGGATATTGCGTCCCAAGCACGTCTCCACATCGCAGTGCATGTCAATGATGTAGGGCTGCCAAAAATACCAAAAACTCGGCATCAGTTTCAGCGACACACAAAAGAGAGACAGAGACAGAGATACAGAAAGAGAGAGAGAGAGAGGGCAAGATAGAGAGAAAGAGTCAGCTGCTCACCACAAAATTCGAATCTTTTGCATGACAATAGAACTCGTTAAGAGTGCGCAGTGAGTTGTTGTTGCAATCGACAATAATGAAATCATAGAGATTATCGCTAAGCGTCTTCTTGAACGATTTTATCAAGTACTGCATATACGTCTCCTCCATGGCATCATCATACTCATAGAGTATCTCCTTCTTCGGTATCTGGAAATATGAAACAAGTATAATAAAGGCAATTGGAGTTCCCCGGCACACATCAAAATTTAATTATTAACTAAAAGATTTGGCTGATTGTTCTTATGTAAGCTATTAAGACAATGCTAATCACCAATCAGACAGTTTTCATACTGAAAGATTAGTTATCAAAGAAACTAACAATAGACAGACGGACTTTTACATATCGTCTCGGCTGTTGATGATCTAGAATATATACTCGTTCAGAGGTGCCTTTTTTTCTAATACCCTAGGCAGGAGTTTAAAATGGGAACAAACAAATAAACAACAAAGAAAATGATCGCATTTTGCAAATTGTGGTTGTTGTTGTGTTGACATTATTCGTCGCTTGTAAGGTATTTTAATGTGTTCCAGTTTGTATACAAAGTAAAGAAATTACAAGTGCATTAAACACTTGCTGATCTGCTGGCCCAATCTCACCTTTTTGCCAGTCTTAGGGCACTTTTCGTCATAGTCGTTTTCAATGATGAAATAGTCATCGATGCTAAGTATGCGTGGATTGGCTCCGCCCATTTCCAACTCCTTATCCTTTATCAGACGTGCCACATACGACTTCCCACAGCCTGGCGCTCCGCGTAATATAATGCAAATGCGCTTGGGACGCGATATCCGACCTGGTGGTAGCAGCACCTCATCAATGGATATAGTATTGAGATTCTCATTCGTGGGAACGCTCATTTCCAGACGGCGCGTATCTATCTGTTCGGGTATCTGTTCATTGGCTGCTGCCGTCGAGGGAAACAGAGCCGTGGGCGGATCTCCCAAAATACGGCGCTTCGGATTAGCGGGGAATACTTTGACTGTCTGTTGCTGCAACGGGGACTGGGGCTGTTGCTGTTTATGAAACTTTGGAGGCGGCGGCGGTGATTCTAATCGAGCCACATCCGTCAACGAACTGCGTAGTTAGATTATGATTATTCACGGACTCTAAAGTTGACCAATTTAACTTACTCCTCGCCGTCGGATATGTCCTCGAGATCATCCGTTTTGCCAGCAGCCTGCTCTGGGGCAGTGCACTAAGGGATATGAATATGAGATTATTCTTTCCAGTTGCGATCAATTGCAGCGTTGCAAGCTAATGACTTACCTCGTTACCGGTCAATGTTGTCAAGTTCTGCTCTTGTTGCTGCTGTTGCTGCTGTTGCTGCAACAAGCGCTGACGATTTTTATTCTTCTTTTTGTTTTTCTTCTTATTGTTGGAATTTGGATTCCGATTCATTGAGCCAGCACCTGGTCCAGTTGGGCCCGACGTTTCTTGTGCATTGTGCGAGGCATGTCCATAGTCAAAGATGACACCAGGTCTAAAGTCCGGTACCGCTGAGGCGGGGTCAGCACCTGGGCCTGCACCTGGGCTTAAGCCTGGATCTGGACCTGGACCTGGACCTGGGTCACCGATGCCAACTCGAGTGGCTGCGTTATCAGCGGACTTGTGACCATAGTCGATAACCTTGGCGCTGGTGTTGCGGCTATTCTGATAGTCGAACACTTGCATGGGTCGATAGACGGGATCGTTTGGTCGTTGGGTATGGTTGATGTGCTCCGCGCTGCAACGTTGCGTGTCGCAGTTTTGAGTTTGGTTTTCATATCAATTGTTTAACATTTTTTTCAATTATTTAATTATTGTTTTATTTTTATTTTTTTCGTAAATTTGTTTTTTTGATTTGAAAATTTTTTTTTATTGTTGGTTTATGTTTTTAATATTAAACCAGGAAAAAAACACTTAAACTTGTACTTATTACATATAAATTTCTGATTTTATGGGACATTGATCGAATCAAGCTATTTGCATAACAAGACAGGGTCAGAGTTAGGATCAGGGGCGAGGTCGGGTTCGGGTTCGGGTTCGGGGTCGGGATCTTTTGGCATTGAGGAAAACATGAGTTAGCATTTAGAATAATTAGAGCGCACTTGGCACAGTCAACCAGCCAGCTGACAAGAGTCATGTGAACTTAGTTTAGGATATGAAACAAACAGAATGGATAAACTCGGCAAACCGAATATCAAATATTTTTTCAACTGATTGTTTCGTTGGTATAAGATTTAGAAGTACGCATTTTTTGGCACACCCTGAACAACGAAGTTATGCTAAAATATAATACACAAGCAAAGTGGTTTTCTTTCACCTCTTGGTTTACCTGCCAAGATGTTTAATCAATGTATCCCCAATGTGTTATTTGATAGCATTTCAAATATAATGAAAATAAATCATTTTGTACGGATAACTTCAGTACGCAGACAGACAGACAGACCAGTTATTCAAATATAACTTATTCTGTGAACTTTGTAGACGTTTTTATGACCAACAGACAAGCAAATAAAATTGACATTTCCTATTTTTACACCCTTAATATGATTAGAAGATATCTTCGACACCATTTAAGTATATTTAATTGTAGAGAAGGGGCACCAGGTCTTCTTCCGTTACGGGACCATCCCCGTAAGCGGACTGAAGAAGAAGAAGACTGGAGAAAGGCCCCAACCTGCTCCAACGGGCAGGGAGGATGTCTCGGTGGGCAACACCACCACATCGGACACTCCTGCCCCGGAACAGGGCAGTCCGACTGCGCAGCCCACCGACCCGTCGGAGGACCTCGCAGATGACGAAGAACTGGCAGATGCGACGCTCTGCCAGGGGGAGATGCTGGGGGACGACGATATCCCCATGTCCTCGCAGGAGCTGGAGGAGGAGCTGCAGGATGCAGCTGCAGCTGACGTCACTATGACGAGCAGCGGTGACGGGGACAGCTCCAGGCCCCATTCACCGTGTCAGCTGGAGCCTCCCCAGAAGTAGATGTCAAAGGGCATCAACACAGGGCTAGCTCAGGTAAACATCCACCGAGCTAAGGCAGCCTCGGCGGTCTTAGCAAGGATGTTTACCAACAAACACCTTGGGCTGGCCCTGGTACAGGAGCCGTGGGTGAACGATGGCATCAAGGGCCTGTTCACAGTCGACTCAAAGGTAATCTGGGATCGGAGAGATCCAGCACCCAGAGCTTGTATCATGGTAAGGAAAAGTATTAACTTTACTATCCTTTCAGAATTCCTGACTAGAGACTGCGTTCCCATACTGGTGTACACCAAGGGCAGCGCGGTCTCTATGGTCATCGTGTCTGCATACTTCGCAGGGGATGCACCCTGCCCACCACCAGAGGTTGAGAAGCTGGTGGAGTACTGCAGGAGAGAGAAGATGCCGGTGCTCATCGGATGTGATGCCAATGCGCACCATACTATATGGGGGGTGATTTTATTTTTAAACATAATCTAGAACTAGGTAATGTCGGATCTGCACCGACATTTGTCACTAGGATCAGGGAAGAAGTGCTGGACATCACCCTGATCAGTCGGTCCCTAAAGCCTCACCTTAGGGACTGGCATGTTTCCCAAGAGGAATCCATGTCCGATCACAGGACTATCCTATTTAATTTAAAATTAAATACGGATAGTAGCACACCAGGTCGCAACCCCAGGAAAACCAACTGGGAAGGCTATAAGTCGACCTTGGGGCTCTCCCTAGCCAACGGGATATCTGGTATACCCAGAAAGCCGCTAGAGCTGGACAGGGCTATTGGGGACATCAACAAATGCATAATTAATGCATTTGAGGATAACTGCCCGGTAGGGAAGAAGCATATGGAAAAAGATGCCCCATGGTGGAACGACAGCCTAGAAAGGCTGCGCGTGACCACACGCCGCCTCTTTAATAAAGCAAAGAGGGACGGAATATGGGAAGAGTACCGTGAAAGCCTGACCTCCTACAATAAGGAGATAAGAAAGGCCAAACGGAAGAACTACAGAGACTTCTGCGAAAGCATAGTTAGCACAAGCGAAGGCGCCAGGCTTCATAGAGCACTGGCGAAACGAACGCCTGATGCGAACTTAGCACTGAAGCGTGGGGATAACTCCTTTACGAGCAGTAATTTGCAGAAATTAGTACTACTTTTCGAGACGCACTTCCCAGGAAGTATACCCCTGCAGGAAGAGGCTATCGAAAGGGAAGAAAGACACAGGCCGTCAACTGACGACTGGGCATGCGCCAAGTCGACAGTCACAAGGGAAAGACTTAATTGGGCAATTGGTACATTCCAGCCCTATAAGTCCCCTGGAACGGACGGCATATCGCCAGCTTTCCTTCAAACGGGACAGGAAATACTCCTATCCCGTATTAGGAAGGCATTAGCAAGTAGCCTAGCCCTCGGATACATACCGGGCGCGTGGAGGAGAGCTAGAGTAGTCTTCATCCCCAAGGCAGGGAAGAAAGACATTACCAGCCCGAAGTCCTACAGACCCATCAGCTTAACATCGTTTTTACTGAAAACGTTGGAAAAGCTGGTGGACTACAAAATCAGAAGTACTTTGCTTAAGCAAAGGCCGCTGCACCCAACGCAGCATGTATACAGAATGGGTGGTCCACGGACACAGCACTTTATCAACTGCGACGTACTTTGAGTGCGGCAATTGATAATAAGGAGGTAGCACTGTGTGCCTTCTTAGATATAGAAGGTGCCTTTGATAACACATCGCATGATGCAATCAATGCTACCCTCGAGAGAAGAGGCCTGGACCATACAACCAGCAGATGGATACTCGCACTGCTACGGTCCAGGCAAGCCACAGCATCATTATATGATAGCAATGTAACAGTCCTAACCACCAAAGGCTGTCCCCAAGGAGGGGTGTTGTCTCCGCTACTCTGGAGTCTGTTAGTAGACGAACTACTAAACAGACTTGCTAACAGTGGTATTCAATGTCAAGGATATGCCGATGACATTGTTATCATAGCGCGAGGCAAATTTGAAGAATCACTCCTGACTGGAAGTCAGGGCTAAGGATAACATATGACTGGTGTATGGAGGTTGGACTCAACCTAAACCCTACGAAAACAGTCATCGTCCCCTTTACCAGACGACATAAGTTACAGAGGATGAGACAAATATGGCTCTCAGGGACCCTACTAGAAACGAGTAGGGAGGTCAAATACCTGGGGGTCACATTTGACAGCAGGCTTAACTTTGGCACCCATGTGCAAAACACGATATTAAAGTGCTCTAGGGCGCTTTATACATGTCGTAGTATTGCCGGCAAATCATGGGGTACATCACCAAAGATATAAAGATGGCTATACCTGATGGTAGTAAGGCCCATGTTAACCTTTGGGGTGGTAGCATGGGGTGACAGGGCGCGGTTGGTCACCGTGAAGAAGCAACTACAAAAATTGCAAAGGATGGCCTGCGTATGTATGACAGGAGCTATGCGCACCTGCCCTACAATGGCCCTTGAAGCCTTAATGGAGATCACACCACTTCACCATATCATAAGGCTCAAGCAGAAAGCCACGCTTCTAAGGATATCAGCAGAAGGAGTTGGGGGCAATCATATCCTAAGCTACAAAGATGCCCAACTCCTTTCAAACGAACTGCCCCTGCTGATGCAACCTAGGGACGAAATGGTAGCCGAATACGTATTCGAGCGAAATTTCACACTTTGTATGAGCAATAAAAGGGAATGGACAACTCTGGATGAGGTCCATCCCATGAAACCGCACACCATTAAATGGTACACCGACGGATCACTCACGAATCAGGGCACAGGCCTTGGAGTGGTGGGTCCTCGGGTATTCTACCATGAATCCCTGGGAACGCACACCAGCATATTTCAGGCTGAGGTGTGTGCTATAAGGAGATGTGCGGACTTTAATATAGAACGTAACTATCGGAATACGGATATATCCATCCTATCCGATAGTCAAGCAACATTGAAAGCTATAATGGGGACTAAGATAACATCGAAGGTAGTCCATGAAGTTCGTTCAAGGCTAGACCTACTCGGGACTCATAGCAGGCTCACCCTACGATGGGTCCCGGGCCACAGGGACATAGCGGGAAACGAGGCGGCTGACAAGCAAGCAAGAATGGGGACAGGAAGGCCCCTAACAGGACCAGAACAGTATTGTGGCATAGGGAGACACACTATACGACTGGAACTTAGAAACGAGGAGAGGCAAAGACGGCATCACAGCTGGTCGGAGGCAGTGGGACAAGCCAGATGTCTCCTAGGTGGTTATAATCTTGTACGATTTGAACAAATTATAACCCTGGGAAAGAACAGCCTTAGGATACTCACCGGTCTATTGACAGGACACTGTAGACTAAGGAGTCACCTGGCAAAACTGGGTATATATAGTAGCGACCTGTGCAGGTTTTGTGAAAGAGAGGAGGAATCCTCGATACACATCCTGGCAGAGTGTGTCGCCTTAGCTAGAAGAAGAAGCAGCCTTCTAGGGGCGCATGTTTTGAAGTGGAAAAACATAGAAGACCTCAACCCAACAAAGATCCTCGTATTCGTGCGGGAGTTGGGGCTGATGGAAGAGCTATAAGCTCAGAAGGGGGCACAATAGATCTAATAGGTCGCGGTGCAGTTTTTTCCCCCCTAGTGATAAATAAAATAAATAAGTATATTTATGCAAATGGACTCTTATACGCCCGTATATCAATCTCAATTTTTATTGCCAATAAGCTACGCAAATTGGGTTGTTTGAGTAGACAAATATCAGATTTACATTGTACACTTGTCTTATTTTGGCAAAGGTATTTAATCGTGAGTATCATTATCATTATCATTTTGTAAGTTTGTAAGGATTTCATGTATGTATTTATTATATTACTAAAAACGTTGCCCAATATTTGATACATAATATGTGTGCATATTATACTCAAAACGAATCAGATCATTTCGAAGTATGTCAAAAAGCATTCAGCATCGGGAATTCAAACTGTGGCACAGTCGTATTGTATGCAGCAATACATTTTATACTCTTATTCTTGAGTGGCTAACGAATAATTTTATTTTTTTTTTTTTCTTGTTACAAGCGGACACCCATTCGTCATTCGGACTGCTTAAGACAGATGTAGGAATTTTTGATTCATCGCAGACAATTTTTAAAGCTGATGCAAAATGCACCTATGTTTAAATGAAGATAGTATGCATTTCTTATTTTACAAATAAATACTGAAGTGCACAAGCGCATTTAAAATGATTCATTTTATTTATAATCGTATTCAATGTGTTTCGAATTTTGCATGTTTTTATATTTAAATATGTGTAAGCATTAGTACATAGAAATATGTCACTCGAAATTCACTATAAAATAGAAATTTCATTTTATGTACCCCAAAAAAAATAAATCAAATAAAACTAATCAAATTTATTTTTTGTTATATTAAGATAAAAAAAAATCGTGGGAAAAAAAACATCAACACAATACAAAAATCATTAAAAAAAAAGAAACTTAAAAACTAAGCTCGAAGGAAAAATTAAAAATGAATTATGTAAATATACTCGATAATATACAATGTATTTTATTGTAATGCTGCACTCAACGGTAATCGGAGGTATTTACATTGAGATTGATTGAGAAAGATTGGGAGAGATTAAAAGGTCGCAGTATGCACTTGTGGGTTCGTGTGTGTTTTATGGATATTGTGTAAAATCCTCTGCTGCCTCGCCGCTGTTTTAATGTTTAGATATGCTCTGTGTGTGTGTGTGTTTATGTGTGTGTCTGTGTGTGTGTCGCGGAGGAGGAAGGGCACGTAACTAATATCGTAGCACTTTTCTTCTTAAATGAGCTCTAGCGGGGCCCACGATGCTGTTGGACGTTACTATTGCTCCTGTTTAGGGCGTCACCTCCACCGCGGAAGGATCGGCCGCTGCGCAGACGCACGGAACACGGAACAGTTGAAATTTGTCAAATTACAAAATTTTGTATGCAGCAGTCATTTAATTGATGCGCCATTGAAATTGAATGATAGTTGAATTTTACATTTCAGTTTGCATTTTGATTTTCATGTTGATTGTATTTTGGGTGCATAAAAGTAGAAGAGAAGAAGAGAAAACGGGTATGGAATCAAAATTCCAGCATTAACGACGAGATCAACAAAAGATGCCTGCACATTTAAACTACGAACATAGAAACGAGTTAGAAAACATTCGGGGTTTAAATAATGCCTATTAAAGATATATATTTTTGTTTCTGTTTAATGGGCTCTCATTTCTCAATTCCAAGTAATCAATTTTCCGCTAAGTCATTTGAGAATCGTTTTTAATTCGTACACGTTTGAAATATGCACGATTATGAACAATTTAAATATTTAAAATAATTACGTACAGGACAAAATTTCGTTTAGCTGCATTTGTCATATATTAAAACAAACATTTTTATGAAAAATAAACAAAAATCTTGAATTTGTACATTCACTGAACAAAGAGTCTTAAACCCCTTTGAAAGTTTTGTAAGAATCTTTTAAAGCAAATTATAAAGAAAAAGAAAGACATATTCTTAAAACTGACAAAAATCTAGAAATTTCGCATAGCTTTCTTGCTTTCTCAAAAAACAGTTCGATTTTAAAATGTTGTAAAAAAAAGAGCTTAGAATAGAATAAATTTTCTGAAATTAGTGGAGTTTTTTGGGTGCAGGAATATTTTACAGTATTGATTCCATGGACATGACACTTAATAGACTCAATACACGTGCTTATATATATTGCGGCTTTGTTTAAAATTCCAAATTTCTTTTTTGAAAGGGTATTTGGAAAATGTTAATGTTCTTGGGGTTATTGCAAAAACCAATGATCATCTTCTTTTTTTTTAAGTAAAAAGTTTAAAAACTAATGGAGAATTGTTTTGAATCTGCTGGGTGGCAAACAGCAGTCAATGAATGCACAATGCAACATCGATTCCTGAATCCAGAACAAACATTCTTATGTAAATACAGGCCTATTCATTTATGTATATATATATATACCACTTATATACAGTTTGCATAACTAACATTAAAGAGTTTATGTAACACTCCAGACAATTTTGAGAAGTCACAATTTGAGAAGTTACACATAGCAGCATCAAAATCAAGTGGCATAAAATAATGCACGAATTTGGTGCTTTTATTTTCGGAGACTGATGTACAGACAAAGATACTACAAACGGTTGGATTTTGATTCATATGCATCAGTTGGGGTTGGTTAACACTCAGACGGATTGGAAACTTGGACCACCCAATTCGCAGAAATGCGTATTTAGAGATATCCAAGTTTGAGCCCCCGGTAATTGGTAATTGGTCATATTAAATTCTATGCGGTATGGACAAAAAGGGATAGAGCCACTGAGAGAGGCAAAAGATTAGGGTCAACTTATGACACATACCTATCAGGCCATGGCCTATTGCTGTTGTCGTTGTTTCCCGCGTTGCCGAAACTGTTTCTCGCCTGCCCAAATTTCTTTGACTGATTCATCGGCCCTCTTCCGCGTGGCCCAAATCCAGGCCCATCACGCGGCTTATCGTCATAGCTTGGGCCAGAGGGTCCGACTTTGCGTTTGAATGGATTCTCGCTGAACGAATTGTTATTCTTATTGTTGTTGTTGTTGCCCATTTTGGAGCCATTGAAATTCGGATTATTGGGTCCTGATCCTGGTCCTGGGCCAAAGTTGCGTTCATTGGGACTGTTGGGTCCTTGGCCAAAGTTGTGTTCATTGGGATTGTTTTGTCCAAAGTTGCGGTTAAATGGTGCGGCTGCATTTGGTCCACCTGGTCCACCGGGTCCGCAGAATGGTCCAGGACCTCCAAAGTTTTGACCAGGACCGGGTCCATTTGGGCCGCAGAAGTTTGATCGAAACTGGGCCGGGCCAGGACCTTGACCGGGTCCGTTGCCACGGAAATGTTGACCATAGCTTGGACCGGGTCCATTGAAATTGGGATTGTTGGGTCCGGCGGGACCGAAATTACGTCCAAAAGGCCCGTTCGGTCCAGGGCCGCCACCAAATGATCCTGGCCCCTGTTGATTAAAATTGGGTCCACCGAAATTGGGACCATTCGGTCGAAAGTTGCCACACGACGGACCACCAAAATCAATAAAATTCGGTCCCATCACCTGGCCACCTCCATCCCCGCTAGGTCCGAAGGGTGGGCCATTGGAACCGAATCCATGTGGTGGCCTTTGATCGGTACCAAAACCACCACCACCGCCAGGTCCAAAACCACCGCCGCGATTTCCGGCATCATTGCCAGCTGGTCCTCCACCAAAACAGCCGCCCGGCGCATTATCCGCCATATTATTCTGTTGCCCATCTGGCTTGCTATTTTTCTGATTATTCTTCTGATTGTTCTTCCATTCGGCAAAGGACAGCGCCCGTCCGTGTTTGCCCTCATTTTTGTTGCTGTTGTTGGCGGGATCAGAGCGCTCATTGGATTCCTGCTGTTGCTGTTGCTGTTCCAGTTCGCGACCCTGTGCCTGGGCCAGAGCCTGAGACAAGTTGTTCATGAACTCGGGATCTTTGAGTACATTGCTAACAGTGTCTGGCAGCGATTCATTGACTGTCGTCCCTGTCGGCTTCTCTTTTTCTAATTGCTGACCTTGTGGCGATATGCCTGGTTTGACAATGACCACATCAAACAGCGATGGTATCTTCTTGTTATTATCAGCATTTTGATTTGCTGGCATTGTTGCTGAGGACGCAGCTGCGGATCCAGTTCCGGCAGTAGCCGTGCTGCCATCGGCAACCAAATCGAGTCCTGGTATGCCATCGCTCTTTTTAAATATATTTTTCATGCGCGCATCGTTAGAAGACTCCACATAGTTGTCCTCTTTCTGCTGCACTTCATCCACCTCATCGTCGTCATCGTCCAATGAGATTATCAAGATATTCTCCTGTTTGCTCTGTTTCAGTGGAGTCGATCTGACAGCATCAATTTTACGCTTGCCCAGTTCAGTAGCTGTACCTGCCGGTGCAGCTGCACCTGCTTCGTGAGAGGGATCTGACGCTGAAGTTGAAGGTGAAGCGGAAGTTACAGCCGTAGCTGTAGTTGTACTCTTATCCACGTTCAGCTGTTGCTGTTGCTGGTTGGCTGCCGCTGGTTTTTGGGCATTTAATTGCGGCTTCTGTTGTAATTTCGGTTGTTCTTGTTGTTGCTGTTGTGGTCGCAATTGTTTCTGCTGAGTTGCGGGCTTCGCTGGGATATTTTGCTCATGGCTAGCTAATGGCATTGTCTGCTGTTGTGGTTGCTCCTGCTGTGCATCTGATTTTGGCGAATCGTAGTGGGATTTAGTTGCGTCTGACTCGTTGGGCGCCTCATTTTGCTCCTCCACGTTCTGGCCTTGTCTCTGGTTCTGTACACGTCTCTGACCTGGGCCCTGGTTCCTGCTGTGATTTTGTGTCTGCTTATTACTATCCTCATCTGAATAGCCTTCGCCTTCCTCATAGTCGCCATAGCGACCATCGCCGCCGATGGCTCCTGGCTGTTGTTGTTGGTTTGGTGGTAGTTGTTGAGAATTCTGCATTTGACGCCCGCGTCGCATTTGCTCTCGACGCTCAGCAATGCGACGTCGCTGCTTCTCAAATTCTTCCTCATAGCGTCGGTATTCATCGCGATCTGGATGATTGGCGTTGGCACGTTTCCAATCCTCGAACTGCTTCTCCCACTGGTTGAACAGGCGATCAAAGCTCAGCTCCTGCTGCTGCTGCTGTTGTTGCTGCTGTTGCTGGCTGTAATTGCTTTGATTTGGGACGCGATTGTAGCCGGCATCATGGAAACTATTGTTGTTATTCTGTGGTGGGCCAAAATTTCCGCCGCTTTGATTCGATCGATTTTGTTCCCAACGCCCGCTGCGGCGGTTGTTATTGTTACCTGGTCCATAATTATCAGTAGGACCTTGACCCGAACCATTATTGCCAAAGTTGCCGCCATAATTTGTATTATCTCTGCCCCCCACTGAACTCGGTCCACCAAAGTTGCCACTGTTACTGTCACTGTCAAAGTTGCTAGAGTTGGGTCCAGCACCATCATCGGTGGCAAAGTGACCTGATGATCCTGTGTTGAACGCATTGGTGCGACTGTTGCTGTTACTGTTGTTGGCGTTGTTACCAGGCCAGCTGCGTCTGTTCCCAGATTGATTTGACTTATTGACACTTTGGTTGTTATTGGTACTATTATTGTTATTGCTGCTGTTGTTGTTGTTGCCCGGCTCATTGCCTTGCCAACGATTGTTACGTGCTGATCCCACATCTGGCGGTGGTCCATCCCATCGCGAACGGTCCTCCGCATCCTTCGTGTTGCCTCTGTCATTGCCCCGGCTTGCTGTTCCCTTTGCCCATGGAGGATCAGTTAGAGTACCAGATGACAAGGACGATGTTGATGTCGCTGGCGGTGGCTGTTGCATAAACGAAGGTGGTGGCTGCTGTAAATTGGGAAACATGCCAGACTCACAACGACCACTACTGGGCGGCTGACTGTAGTTAACGGGCGGCATTTGGTTGAATCTGCCCGGCGGCGGCTGTTGCTGCCACTGATTTGACGTTGGCGGCTGTTGTTGCTGGTGGTGCAGTTGTTGCAGGGGTTGTTGTTTCTGTTGTTGTTGTTGGTAGACTTGCGGCGGTGGCGGTGGCGGCTGATTGTACATCTGCGGCTGTGCCATTATTTTACCAGGCATCTGCGTATGGGAATGCGTCTGCGACTGCGGTTGCATTTGCGGTGGCAGTTGCTGCATCTGTGTCTGTTGATAGTATGGCTGTGGCTGTGCTTGTGTCGGCTGCACCGCCATCTGTGGCCCAATTTGAGCTGGCGGATAAACGGGCCCAATGGGGGGCACTGATGATGTGATCGGTGGTGCAGCAATAGGTCCTGCTGACGCTGCGACGTGTGGTGGCGCCACAGTATTAGTAGCTGCAGCGGCGGCCATTTCCCGCTTGTACTGTGGGAATTTGGAATACATAGAATTACATGAAAATACTGTCAAAACGCGGATTCCACGAACACCTGAACCTGAACATGAACTCACCTGCTCACCATACTGGGCATGCCACTTGGCGTATTCATGCTGGTAGGTTTGCCACTGCTGCCAGTGCTGCTGAAGCGCGTACTGTTGTACCGGCGTCATCGCTGCATATTGGGCGGCCGTGTATTGTTCGTAAGGATTGTTGCCGGATTGGGGTGCGCCCGCACTCATATAAGTGCCGGGTGCCGCACCACCAGTAACACCAGCAGAGGCAACAGCAACTCCAACCATTGGAGTATTGTCTACAGGCGGCGGAGGCGGTGGTGCATCGGGCAGTGGTGGCGGTATTGAGGGCTGCGGCGGTGGTGCAGCCATTGCCGCGTTTGGCACCGCGGCCATAGGCCATTGATTCCACATAGCCGATATCTCAAATTATCTAAGCGGTTTTATATAATTTGTACGCTTGACAAAAATATCTAAGCCGATCATATACAAAAAAAAATAGGGTACGCACTCACTTCGCCATTTTTGGCTTGAAAACTAGAGATGAGCATAGTGCAAAATGCTGATATCGATATAGCTTGCAGTCACTTATCGATGCCACTGCATTGACAACTAGAGCATCGCCAATTTGTAGAAAATACACTAGAAGGTTGCGACATACATATCCATCGAAAAATGTTGAGCAGTTTTTATACTTTTGTGACGTCAAAATTCCACATATTACAATCACAGAGCTGTTAGTCGCTATAACCCTAGTGATCCTTAATTAAAAGTATATAAAGACTAAATTTGATAGTAAATATTATCAATATGCATAGTATAATTTTTTTCAGTTTCCTCAATAATCTCATATTATAATTATACCATAGCATTGAGGCTAGGGTGCTAAATGCACTAACGCTTCACTGCAAACTATTTAAATATATTTGAATTGGATGATACGAACTACAGCAGTTTCTGTTTTAAAAAAGTTATATTGAATACGTTGTTTTCCTATTCTTATTAGTATTTGATGACGTATACTCACAACGAAACGATAGATGGCCGATTATCGGAGTACCTTGTAGACTCGATAATTCTTGTGGACAACACGTGCAGAAGTATAAATTGTTAATTTCGCTTGTGCGTTTCGTTTAAAAGATTATTTATGAACAACCTATAATATAATGAGTACCAGCAGCACTAAAATTAAATATCTTGTGGCGGACACAACAGCATTTATAAATGCTGTGCCGCTGAACGTAAGTGCAAGAAACATTTGAAATGATATTCAAATTGAAAACATCCCAAATTATTTTTCGTGATTACAGGAATATGCGGATAATGTGCTTACCGTGCCAGAGGTGGTTGCCGAGGTGCGCAACAAACGCCAGATACGCCGGCTCTGTGTGCTGCCATTTGATTTGCAGGTGCGCGAGCCACGTCCCGAAAGCGTTAAGCATTGCGTGCAATTCGCCAAAAAGACGGGCGACTATGCCAGCTTATCCGGCATTGATTTAAAAGTGATTTCGCTCACATATGAGCTGGAGGCGGACACAGTTGGCACTGAGCACCTGCGCAATGAGCCAGTGGTCTCTCAGGTAATTGCCTCCAAGGACAAGCCCGAGGAAATGCAGGATGTGAATAATAAGCGTCTCGTCGGCTGGTATATGCCCGAGGGCAACGAGGAGGATGATGAAGGAGAGGAGGAGGAGGAAGAGGAAGATGAAGATGACAATGAGCAGCAGTTGGACAAAGTCGACCACATTAAAGCAGCCATTGAAGCACATATGGATGGAACAGGGATACAAAGTCCAGAGAATAAGCCAACAGACGCAAGAACAGACATTGGCAACGACAACGAGGACGATGACGATCTAACGCAAGAGGAGCTGGACAAACTATTTGAGAAACTGCAATGTGCACCATCTGCGGACGAGGAGCGGGCAACTTGTGATCTTTTAGTAGCAGAGTCCAAAGAGGAAGACGAAGATGACCAAGAGGAGCAGCAGACCCAACAAGCCAACGAAAAAGAAATTGATGAGGACGTTGGCGACGATGGCTGGATAACGCACTCAAACATCAAGAAGGCCAAAAAGGCGCTCGAGGGCAAAGTGGAAACGGACATTGTGCCGCCGGTTGCCTGCATGACAACCGATTATGCGCTGCAAAATGTGCTGAAGCAGCTGAATCTGCAGCTGGCCGCGCTAAATGGACGGATCATCAAGCAGCTGCGCACCTACATATTGCGTTGTTATGGATGCTTTAAGACGACAAGCATCATGACAAAGGTTTTCTGCCCCAATTGCGGCAACAAGACTCTCAAGCGTGTGGCCGTTAGTCTGGACGAAAACGGCAAACAGGTGCTGCACATAAACACGAGGCGCTCCCTTACTGCCAAGTATAAGAACCAAAGCCTGCCACGCTTTCAGGGCGGCAAGCATTCACGCAATCCCATTCTGTTTGAGGATCAGCCCATGCCACGACAGATGCCGTCGCGTGTGGCCAAAACAAAGACAAATGCCCTTGATGATGATTATATTGCCGGCTTCTCACCGTTTGTGATGCGTGACGTCGACTCCAAGTCGGCAATGCTGCGCTCAAAAGGCAATCTGAAAGAATGGGCACGCAACAACAACTTCGAGGAGGATCGCAGGCGCAAGAACTACAATCGCTTGTACAAATAATACGGGTGGGGCATGCTACCTACAAGGTTATATTTTTCTCATGCATATGTTAATATTAATAAAACACTAACTTAAAACAAATTTTCGCTCCAGAAATTGGAATTCTCAATTTAAAATTAATATTTTAATCTCTAAAGATTTGTGAAAAGTCAAAAATGTAGCTTTGTCAGGCTCGAAATTGTACAAGAAAAATTATTTGTACAGACAATATAGTATTGTCTGCTTAGTGTTGCTATGGATATGGTGCTATTAGCGATTAAAATGTAGAAGTCTTTAATCTGATAGAGATCTAGAGATTTAATCAATTTTGAACATTTACAATGATTTCAATTATTTACAGCTGTTCAAAATATATGTACATATATTATTTATGTGTTTCTAATTCAAGGCACAGCTCATTGCCTGGATACTCAGGTAGATTTAGCTCGTACTTGCGCTGCAGAGCCGGCGGCACAAAGCGTCCGCCCAAAAAGTGATGCTTGCCTTTGAAGTGTTTGGCGCATAGCTTGGGAGCCGTCAGTGAGATGAGCAGGGTCGGCTCCAGATCGCAATCGTTGAGCTTACCATTCTCCACATCCCAGCCACTGGGTATATCCACACTAAGAAATCACAATAAGCACAATAAATAGAGAGCAGACAATGGGAAACATTGAAATGTACCTGGCAATCGGCAACTTTGTCTGCTGCAACAGTTCCACGACGGGTACAAAGTCTACGCGCACCGGCGGCTTGAAGCTAAATCCGAAAAGGGCATCCACAATTAAATCGTAACTGTTGGCAGACGTCTCCACTGTGGGACACTCGTCAATGCGGCAGATCTCCATGCGTTGACACTGATGCGACAGATTTTCGAAAAGTGGCTTTGCTGTTGGCTTCGGATAATAAATGGCTGGTGTGTAACCCATCAGAGCCAGATGGCGGGCACAGACCAGCCCATCGCCACCGTTATTGCCAGGACCGCAGCAGACGAGGACACGGCCAAACCGATCGGCCGGAAAGCATTTGGTTATAGCGTGCGCACAGCTTAGACCGGCTAGTTCCATTAACTGATCCACGCTAAACTTGTACTCGTTGAAGAGCTCTAGGTCGACATTGATGGCCTCTTTTTGATTCAAATACTTAACCATGCTGCTGCTGGTGTTGCTGCAATGACAAAATTCCCTCTGTTGAATTTGTTGTATTATTTGCTTTGGTTTGCCGGCGTTTGGCAAAACGCAGTTAAATCGGTTTCGCAGCAGTCCAATTGCCAATCGGCTTATCTTGAAAACGTGTCCCTGCATTTACCAGAAAGCCGTATTCACTATAGATTAAATAATTTGTAATATCAAGCATATGTTTTGAAAAATGCGCAACCAACATAATACATTTTTGTAACTTTTCTTACAATGTTTGTAAATATTGCTTGTTTCGCTACGTTTATCGGTTGAAAAGTATCGGTATTTAAGTATTAACTAAGTGTGGCCAGTTGCCGGGAATAAGCGGCACATTTAAAGCTGTTCGCTCAGTTTAAAATATGCAGAGCGGAAAATACGAAATTTAATTTCTTGTCAAATTGAAAATAAATAATGGATGAAAACTATAAAATTTTTCAACAATTCTTATTGTGTATTGATAATTTTTATTTACACTATTTTCTTTGGACTTTAATGGAAGAAAACAATGAAAATTGTTTTGATGAATTTCAACCCAAAGTTTGAATGAAGAAGTTAAGAAGAATAATTAGTGAACTGCCACAAAGTGATACCACTAAAAATAGTAAGTAAAATATTATACTATTACAAATACACGCATACGTATAGAATACAAAAATATTGTAAAGGGGAAAATCTTATGCGCATTTTTTGGCTTGTACAATAGTGCCTGTTATTATACACTTTGGCAGTTAGCAATACAAAAAGTATGTAATTGATAATGACAATGCTCAAATGTTTTATTTGATGGATTCTCGACAAGAGTATTTCCTAAATACAAATATAATAAAAAAGTTCGGTTCGCTTATGTGATTAGTTTTCGTGTCTGTCAATATGCTCAATATGAATAAACAATGTGAATACAAACATATTGCAATAGTTTTTGGCGCACTCATCATTTGGAATATGTAGTATATACCCATGAAGATGGGTTTCTAGATCTATTGTCACCATGACTTAAAATGTTTCAATGTGGAGGCGCTCGTGTCGCACCTGAGAGGCATGGGTGCCGAATCGCTTCTGACAATGACCGCACTGGAATCGCCGCTGCCCTTCGTGCACGACGCGAACGTGCCGGCTGATGGCGCTCTTGTGACGGAAGAGTTGCGGACATTGCTTGCATTTAAACTTCTCCCAGTCGGGATTGTGGATGCGCAGATGGGTGAGCAGTTCGGTGCGCGTCACCTTCGCGACCCCGCAGTGCTCGCAAATGTGCGGCTTTTCCTGTGCGTGACGCTTCAGATGCTCGCCGAGTGCATTTTTCGTACTATATCTGCGATTGCACTGCTCACAGTATAGGTCCAGCTCCTCGCTGATCGATGATGTTGTTGTTGTTGTCGCAGCCGCAACAGCCGGATGCACATTGCGCACATGTGAGCGCAGTTGCTCATATCGAGTGAAGGCCTTATCACAATTTCGGCATAGAAACGGCTTAGGGTGGCCCTCATGTACGCTCCGTATGTGCGCCTCCAGATAGGGCAGCTTGTACACCTGCTTGCCGCACTGCTCACAAGCGAGCAACTTTCGCTTGCTTGCCGCGGCAGCTGCTGCCTCATCATTAATCGCCTCCAGGCTCTCATTGTTGTCGTTTACATTGTCCGCATCCGCATCCGATGTCGATACCGCATCGCCATCGCCGGGATCCACGTCAACGTCAACATCAGCGTCGACGTTAGCGTTAGCGTCAGCATTGTAATCTTGTTGATGCTGAGTTTCGTCTTCCGCCGGCTCTGCTTTCACGAGCGTCAACTGCAAAAATGCTAGCTCAGCCCTAAACAAAAAACAAGCTGACTCAACTGCAAAGTTTTGTATATACCAACCGAGTGATCGTCAGCATTAACATCAACATGGACATCAACATCAGCTTCAGTCCTCTTTGGCTGATCAACGGCCAGGGTTATGGTGAGGCGCATCAGCATCTCGTTGCTCTGCTCGGCGACGTTGCAGAGCTGCTGAAAATATTCGATGGCATTGTAGCACAATGCACATATGTCTTGTGGATATGTCTCTGGTTGCTGAAATACGTCAATGGCAAAAAAGTGATTCAACATTTTTGCCAAATGGGGTAGCGCTTTCGGATTGTAGCTGGATTTGTTGCGCTGTTGGTGTTGCTGTTCATTAATCTGGCGCAGATGGCGCAGGCAAATGCGACATAATTGGGAAATATTGGCAAAAGTTAACATAATAACACACAATAACCACTTTAATCGCTTTGCGCACGAAACGCACAAGAATTTGGAATTTAGTGGGGCCGTTTTATGGAACAACCAAAATACAGTCATTTTATCCACTGAGTGTCAAATGCATCAGAACGGTGTCGGCCAAATCAAAAAATTATGACAATGAATTGAATACAAAACAACTGAAAAAGATACCAAGCAATAAAATCAACAATATGGGTTGCACCGAAAATTCTATTTAAATACCATTTGAGTAGGTGCAACTATTTTAATTTTAGACTATCGATATTTATTATAAAATATTGACTTGTAATCGATTGGTTGAAGTGCTTAATCGTGTTGACAAATTTATTGAATGCCAGTTTTTACCCGCACCCCGCTTGTGGTCACACTTGCCAGTTGTGTTCTGAGTTTTCAGTCTCGCACATTGCCAAAAGTATAATCAAATTATTTGATTAGGTCTTTGGTCTGCAGCACATTTGCACATATCCAATAATTATCTGATATCGACGCTATGGCACTTAATCCACAATACGAGGACATTGGCAAGGGCTTCGTTCAGCAATATTATGCCATCTTTGACGACCCGGCAAACCGCGCTAACGTGGTTAACTTCTACAGTGTAAGTCGTATTGTCGCCAAATCTATTCGCTATGCTGTTGATATTATTCTCAAACTCTGCATATAAGCCACATATTTGCGTACACATTGACCTACATGCACATAAGTCTGCACGCTTGTACGGATATATGAAAGTCGATGACAAACAAGACCCTTTCATTGTTGTTGTTCGCTGTTCGTCATCTGTGCGAGCGGCGCGCCCTTGACAAATCGCCAGAAACATAATTATTGCATGGAGCTGCTGCTACGATAAAAAGAGCGCGCAAATTATATTTGTTATTTTACGCGGTATAAGAGTGCTGATCCATCCGGCACATAAGCCAAATACAACATGAACCAACCCATCCATGCAGTGAAATTGAAACTCGGTTAATATTTCAATAATAGCTTTATTTAATATTTACTATTTTGTTCATATTAGTTATTTTCCAATCTAAGTTTTGATGACGCCTTTGCCTCTGGCAGGACATTGCTTAATTGAAGTTTGTGCATAAATATTCTCGAAATTTCTAACGATGACACACGCCTCATCATGCATATATATCTATGTTTGTGTGCATGCATATGTATTTAATTTCATCTGTAATCGAATGTTTCGAATGTTTGGCTCTTTTCGATCTATTTTGGGCAGGCGACAGACAGTTTCATGACCTTCGAGGGCCATCAGATACAAGGAGCGCCAAAAATCCTTGAAAAAGTCCAGGTAAGCATTCAAATGAAACCCCATAAGTATACCCAAAGTTATGACTAACAATTGCAGAGTCTCAGTTTCCAAAAGATCAGTCGTGTAATCACCACAGTTGACTCTCAGCCCACATTCGATGGCGGCGTACTGATTAATGTCCTGGGACGTGTACAGGTGAGAATTCAAATTACTATATGTATACGTATATATTTATATATATATATGTATATATGTTTGTACATACATACGTACAATATAAATATTTTCCAATATAAATAAATATGTATTTGTATTGCATCGTATTTATTGACGCAGACCGATGAGGATCAACCGCATGCGTATATTCAGACCTTTGTGCTCAAGCCAGTGGGAATTAGCTTCTTTGTGCAACACGATATCTTTAGGCTTGCGCTGCACGATGTGTAGCCACGTTATTTGGCAGAAACAACATCTCAACAACAATAAAAACACTCAAGAGGGGCGATACCGGCCAGGCAAAGTAAAAAGCTTTTTGTTGCATCCACTACTACTTCAGCACTGACCTACTAAACGAGATTAATATATTTGTATAATTATTGTTCTGTTGAACCATGCTAACAAACTACATGCAAACACATACTGCTGCTGTCTATATCCGGGTCCGGAAGATTGCGATAATCGTATCCTATTTCTGCCATAAGCTGCCGTTTGCTGCAAGGTTATTGTTAATGTCTAAATTGCATTGAACTTATGCCTACATCCATTTTTGTATGGTTTTCAATTCAAGCTTCTAATTGGGTTTTGTGTTGAACTAACGCTTTCAACAGTACCATTGTACATTAGCGCTAAATTTATGAGCTAGAAATGAAGTTATATGCGTCACTTTAAGAAATTATTATTATGAGACACCCTTCACATGAAATGATTCAAATGACTTCAGACATTTGTTCTTCACAGTTCGTGTTCACCTGCCCTTGTCTGCCCCAGTTTGTAACATTCTATGACTAGCCGAGTGGTTTAGGTTTAAATACTTAGAGGTCTTTTAATTAGAGAGATTTTAATGAGTTTAGTTCAATTTGTTTGCATTCATTGTGCAACGTTGACGAAAGTAATTGCATATTAATGTTTTGTGTACATTTAAAATGACATAGCGAGTTTAGCATGATATCTAAAACATATTTATTGTTTATGTGAGATCGAACTACTATATACACATTTATGATTATATGAGACGAATGTAGAAGTCTGTAAGCTTATACCTGGTTTGTTTTACCATAACGCTTAGCAATTCTCAAGCAAACCAAACAAAACATTACACAAAGGTTTATAAACTCGTATTTTCGAAGGTGTAGCTACTTAATATTGTATTAACATATTCTCTTTTGACAGCAAATAAGTAAATATGTGAAATTTGAGGTTAGCAAGGGTATGCCAGAATGCCTATCTTCTCGATTATCTGCGAATTTGCTCTGTTCTGTTCTGTTCTGTTTGATTGCTTTCTTCCATTTAAAATGACACTTTAATAACGTATTTTCAAGAGCATGGAGTTAATATCAATTATTTCTAATCGTTTTGCAGTGTGATGATGATCCTCCACTCGCTTTCTCGCAGGTCTTCGTGCTGAAAGCCAATGCTGGTACCTATTATGTTGCTCATGACATTTTCCGCCTTAACATACACAATTCTGCCTAAGGACCGCGCCACAACCAACAACAACTACAACAACAATCATAAGCACCAACACCCAAAGATGCAGCCCTCGATCAACAACAGCAAAAAGAAAAAGAACACAAAGAACCTGCCTAGAAGACTACGATGCATATTTTCCCACGTCTATCAAGAATGAAAATCATAAAAACAACAACAGCACAATACGATTTCAATCTAACTACAATAGCAATGTAAAAATGCGTCCAAGCGATTTTTATGATTTCCATGTCGGCGGCTAATTGATGTTTGTGTTTCGGGCGGGCCTCAGCCTAATTATAATAACTCTTAATGCATGTTGCAATGTTGCAGGTTTATTGACACAAAACAAAACAACAAAAAAAAAAAACAACAAAAACTATGGCACACTATATGTATACATATAATTTAAGCAAAAAGATTAAAAAAAAAAAACAAAAATATTGTATGTTTGAGAGACAACAAAAAAAAAACTTTACGCAAATAAACTCGTTTTTTTGGAAAAATCTTATGTATGTTTGAATAGGAAATATGTATGACTGTAAGACCTAGTTATATTTTTACTCAAGTATCGAGAAGTATTTTCGTTAAGTATAAATATAAATGTAAATATTGTTTAGGTTTAAATGCAAGAATGTCTTTGGCAACTAGATCAGTAGTATTTCATTTATCGCGAAAAGTAAAAATCGCATCAAAGCCAAACAGCACACCATTAACAATGGACAGCGATGCCTTGATCAGCGCCAGATCACGTGTACGCGTCCGAAACGAGAACTCCCAGGCTTCTATAATGAAGACGCCGCTAGCCACGAACAGGGCGCAGCCCAGCACGCTGAAGAAGATGTCGATCCGCTTATGAATGGGAGCACGCATTAGAACGCCTGCAATCAAAACGGCAATATATGTTCAACTATCAATATGTGTGTGGATGGCAACCTACCTGCAAATACACCGATGACCACAATAATGTAGCCGGTGAACGTGCCTGTCGCCATAAAGGACGTCAAAATGTCGCGATCATTGAAACTGTAAAAGTGCAGCACAAGACAGGCTACGGAAAATGCCTAAGGATAAACGCACTTAATATAATTGATATAACAAATGATTTGCAGCTTGCTCTATTTTTTTTTTAGCAAGAGTATTTGTAAGGAATTCAAGCAATTTTACAAGAGTTTGTATTTGTCACTCGAAATTTAAAAAAAAAAAAACAAAAACAAAAAAATGTGACGGATAAGAATCTTTACCAATTCCAAAAATTTAACCACATTGAGGCGACCTTTGCGTTCGCCGTGCGACATATTTCAAAATTGATGCCAAGCACACGGTTTCAGTTAACTGAATATCCTTGAGATGCACGTGTGGTGAACTTGTTACTGGATGCTATTCCGGCGGAGACGCGTTCACGCGACCAAAGTAGAACGATCACTGAGCCGCAGACGTTGCCTCAACGAATGTTATGCAAATTTTTGCACATTTTGATTTATGTATGTTTTCGTACAGCAACAACAGCAGCAACAATGGGCGCATAGCAAAATGAGCGCGAAATTAATTAATTACACTCAAGAATCGGAGGAAAAGGCCATTTCATGTTGAAGAGCATATGCCGCCTGTTGTTTTCTTTGGCAAAATGCTGACAGAACCCAACCCAAAATTCAGACAAATATGTAAAACGGAGACGTAGACGGAGCTGCATATGCAGATAAAGATTACAGCGCACTTTAGTTAGTTTAAGTAATACTGAATATACACATACATACTTGCTATTCGCTGTCCAGTTGCGCATCTGAATCAGATTGAGTTGAGTTAAGTTGCAACTGGAATTGAGGTTTTTGTTCGCTTATAATTTGTTGCTGCATAATTGAAGGTCTCTTAATGGAGCAACGCAATGCACACAGCCCTTTTAAACAGATCTCGGTTATGTTCTAAATTTGTATTGGGTTACAAAAAAAAAAAACAAATAATAAATTCACGAAAAACTGTATATATACCTGAAATAAATAAATCTATAAGAATACAATCATCTTAATAGTAATATTATTTGTTTATTCAACAATACAGTAAAATAAAATCCTTAGATGTTTATGAAGTATAATATTGCATGTTGGCAAATGTAACTCATTTTAAACAGATACATTTGTTCTTGTTTTTTAAGTGATGCATTAATTTCGCATTTTTATGCATCTGATTAAAATCAGGTCTGATCAACTTTTAGTTGTCAATAGCACTCAACATTTTTCTAGATTCCAGGTTATAGCTTATGGACTACTTTTCAAAACGGTTCGCTTTTTGTTTTCAATTCACTGTAATTACTGTAATTTGTTAGCTTTTGTATTTTAATTTAACAACTGCGTTTTGTCTAACAGCAACATTTTTAATAATCTTCCTATCAAGCTTTCTGGACTGTGAGATACGTTTCAAACACATAATCGGGAACTACGCTACAAAACATACATACTATAAAATAATTGTATTAGTTTTTTGTTTTAAATATAGATAATACTTTTTTTAAGTCACACATATGAAAGCCGAGAGGCTTTGGTCTTAAGGATTACTGCTTCTATTTGCTTTTATTGAGTGAGTTCTACTACAATTAATCAATTATATTTCATATAAAATACACATAAGGCACACATGCTTGTATATAAGTATTTGCTTAGTATATTCGATATACGTTTATGTATATTGTGTTTCTAAGCCTTTATTACGAATTGCATTTGCACGCGAGAAGAGTTAAGTGCCATATAAAAGTAGCTTCGACTGCAACTCTGGCATTCAGTGTGCTTTAATCATCAAGTGAATGTGAGTGCGGCGCAATGTTATATCCCGAGCTGATCTCAATGAATAACGCGGTGTTCCGCTGCTATATGGGCTGGAGTGCGATATTGGTATTGAAAATGTTCGCTATGAGCCTAATAACTGGCATTTGGCGATTTATAACTCTGGTAAGTCGATGGTTTGTTTCCTTTTAGTGCTGTCACTATGACTAGACGCTTTCCATACACACACACAGACACACACATACAAAGGCATATCTGTCTATCTGCTATTTTTCATGTTCTGTAGGCGTTAGGGGCACTCACTGCGTCCGTTATTAAGCTTATGTGTATGTATGTATGTATGTATGTATGTATACGCACAGACACCTTCATTTAGTTTTGTCGCCGTCGCGCTTTAAGTTATCAGCGAGAGAAAGATGGATAGATAGATAGAGAGAGAGAGAGAGTGAGAGAGGGAGAGAGAGAGTTCATAGCGAGTGAGCGCTGGAGAGCCACAGAAACCGGCATATAATATGAAAAACCGATGCGCTCACAGCAGTTGAAAACTTGCAACGCACGAAGGCAGTTCTCCGGAAGCTAATTTGACAGAAAGAAAGACACTGATTCTTTTTAGAAACAATCATGAGTTTGGAACTTCTAACCCTCAGCAACCCAGTGTTTAAGAGCTATACATTCTGGGCCGGTGTGCTGGTCATCAAAATGTTGGCCATGTCCCTACTCACGGCCATGCAACGTTTTAAGACCAAGGTAAGGGTGAAAGGAAGAGGGAGGTCAACATGCATATATAGTTGGCTGCTGGTCAAAGTCCAGCCACCTGGCGAATGCGGCTACAAACTATTATGAACAGATTTTAAATGACATGACATTTTCGTTGCTTTGCAGACATTCGCCAATCAGGAGGATTTGATGTCCCCAAAGCTGAAGGTCAAATTCGATGATCCCAACGTGGAGCGTGTGCGTCGTGCTCATCGCAACGATCTGGAGAACATTCTGCCATTCTTCATTGTTGGCCTGCTTTACACTCTGACCAATCCCAGTGCTTTCCTCGCCATCAATCTGTTCCGTGCCGTTGGCATCGCCCGCATCGCCCACACCTTGGTATACGCCGTAGTTGTGGTGCCTCAGCCGGCACGTGCGCTCGCCTTCTTTGTGGCGCTTTTGGCAACTGTTTACATGGCACTCCAAGTGGTGCTTGCTGCTGCTTTTTAATTGTATAAGCTTTTATTCCTTCAGTTTTTTGTTGTTTAATAATAGACTGCAACAACGGTTTGAACCCCGCCTTTTAATCTAAACACAGCATTCGATATTTCTTCTCAAATTTGCTGAAGCACAACGAATAAATTTGTATTTTTATACTAGCAGGTTCTTTGGTATTTTAATTTACGCACTACCATTCGAATAATTATTTTGTCTTATTTTAAAGAGTCATGCTTGCTTGCAACTTTTTGTATACCAATGTAGAAGTTATTATAATTTCGTCATGAAAAGAAGACGACTCCAAAAAGTATACACATAGTATATTCTGGATCAGAATCGCTAGTCAGCACTAGATTAGCCGAGTCGATATAACCATCACCTTCTGTTGCTTATATGCGCAAAACTCCCTCAACATAAAGCTATCTTTAATATACAAATATATTATTGCTTCGGCGACTTTTGTCCGTATATATATGGCAAGGCAACGAATAAATAATATTGGTTTAAAATGTATATAATGAAAATTTTGTTTCGGTCTGCAATGGTGTGAAATCTTTTACTTGTCTAATATATCCCTACTTTCTTGTTATTATTATAAATATATTTGCATTCCATGAAGAAGTATCATGCTAGCTTAAGCAACTAGTCATACAAAATATTTTGCATGATTGGTGCTTAAGCTTAATACTTGAAAATACCATATTATATCGATACAAGTGAAAAGGCCGCAAGCAAAGTAATGTAAACTGTTTAGCAATGTTTATTAAAACCAGCTTAACAGTGTTTAACACAATATAAAAACAATTGTAATTCCTATAGCAAAACGTGCTCTCTAGAATAGATTTAAAATTAAAAATATGGCTTTAAAGATCGTTGATGGAAATAAATATATCGCAATTTCGTTCACTTGCGATGAAAATATCGATATATCGATCCAACGTGCGATATCATCTGTTCGATTGTCGCAGCCCATAAATTAGAGCCATATCGCCATTGCTTTGATTCGGTGTACTTTATGTTTTACTTACCTTTTATAATTATTACGGAGTTTTAAAGGGACTTTTATTGTGACACACGTAAAAATTGTGTTGCGAACTTTATTTTATCACCTATATTGTGACAGCCAAGCAAAATAAAATTACGTGTTCATATGATACGTTATTAGAAGGTATGTTTACATGTATGTATCTGTAAGTAAGTATGTATGCTTGAACGTAGTATGCACACATACATGTCAGGCCCAGCCAGTTTCGCCTTGAAGGAAAAACAAAATAAACATACATATGTATGTCATTCAACTTAATCAAGTTAGTGGAAAACTTTTCAACAACAACAATAACAACATCTCACGTGACGCCAAGGAACGGGAGTGCAATGCGTGTAAAATATACAAATACAATTGCGTACCGATTTGACCAAAACAAGCCAACAATAACAGTAACGTATTGAATGCTCGAATTTGCAATTGTGTGTGTATTTATTGTATACACGTATGTGTAGGTTTTGCTTTTGCACATGTACATGTATGTATGCATGCACAGTTTGTGTGATAGGGTATCGCTTGTGTATTTGCGTATCTGTCTATGTGTATATGCATATGTGTATATGTATGTACGTCGGATGCAAAGTACGCACATAGGCCATAGCTAAAAGCTCGCCTGGTGGCTCTGCCGCGAGCGAATACACAATTAACAAATACACACACAATGTGTGTACATACATATGTATTGCTGTGCGAATTTACAAGGTACCAAGTACGCAACACTGATAATATACGGAACTAACTGGGACTTCTCGAGGCAGGTGCAGGTGCCGTTATATCCAAATTCATCTGCATCACTCGACACAAGTGTCTACAGCTCTTGCAACTGTTAATTCCAGTTTTCATACGATATATGTATATGTACATATGTATGGATGTACTATGATAATGATGCAATCTAGTCCGCTTAAGTGTTAATTGAAACTCGCTTAAACTCTGGACCCCATGCGCTTGAGCAATAAATATAAATCTAGATGGCATCAGTTCAAACCTGAGATAATATTACTGCTGTTGTATTTAACTTTGCTATCCAACAGAAGACTGTTTAAATTATAGTGCAGGTTTGTCCGCAACTAATGCGAGTTTCAAATTCCATTGTTCGCTTGATATCTGAAATGAGGAGTAGGCTTTAGGCATTTGATGTATACAACCTACACCTGTATGTATTGTTGCAAAAGTCATTTTACTTTCAAATTAAAGTTTGTTCACACTAAAATTCTAAACTATATTTTAACATTTTTCGAATAGATACGAGATACGCATTTCAACGAACACCAAACCTGACCGTATTTGAATCACTTCGTCCATTGACCGCTTGTATTGAAAACCATTGATTGCCAGTCGAGTGCTTGTAGGTTTTCAAATAAACCAACCCACCATAAGCATCACACACAAGCTTCTCGCAACCCTCTCAAATGGCTACGTGTCACATACATAAACATAGCATTGTTAATTAGCCACAGTTCTGGTTTCACACCCGTTGGATATTATCTATAATTGTTTTGCTTTGTATATTAACTATCGTCTGGTTGTTGTTAAAACGTTTCTTTTGCATTCTTTTAGAGCGTGTGTAAAGACGTCAAACTAATCGATAAATACAGATTGGCCACAACCGACCATGGAAACAGCGACAGCGACTCTGGTTGGCGAACAGCAGTTGCCAACGGCACCAGAATTGCCGACTTCATCAACCAATGTCAATAGCAGCAACGGCAACGAAAGCGGCAGCAATTTCCCTAATGCATCGGAGCGTGTGGATACCGAAAATATTGGCTGGAATAGGGACAGAACTGATGCCACATCGGAGTTGCGCCAGCGTGCAACGTCATATTCGTTCACGGGCAGTGCCCTGGCCAGTGGCAACAAGTCGGAGCTCAATGAAACGGAAGCGGCTGGGTCAAGTAGTGACAACAGCGCCACTGTGAATGACAAGGACAAGGACAAGGATAAGGAGCATAGCGAGGAATCACTGTACGAGTGCAACATATGTTTGGATACAGCGAAGGACGCGGTGGTTAGCATGTGTGGCCATCTCTTCTGTTGGCCATGCTTGCACCAATGGCTGCTAACGCGACCCAATCGCAAACTCTGCCCAGTTTGCAAGGCAGCCGTGGACAAGGACAAAGTTATACCGCTCTATGGTCGCAATAGCACACGCCAGGAGGATCCACGGTAAGCTGACCACATTATTTCAAGCATTCGTATTGTAGCAATTGATTGATTAATTGTACTTATTATTAAAGCAATAAGGTGCCACCTCGTCCTGCCGGCCAGCGTACAGAGCCTGAGCCTGCACCTGGCTTTCCGGGCTTCGGGTTCGGTGATAGCTTCCACATGTCATTTGGCATTGGCGCTTTCCCCTTCGGTTTCTTTACATCATCGCTTAACTTTCGCGAGCCACGCCCAGCAGGTAAGTGCAATTGAATCGCATTTAAAAACATATTCATGTATCGCATATGTAATACATTTATATTTTTAATACTTTTAGCGGCTAATCGGGGCACCACGCAATACGACGATGAGCAGACACTCTCCAAACTGTTTCTCTATCTCGCTTTTCTCTGCATCGGATGGCTGTTGTTTGCCTAGCAACTTCACCATAGGGCGACCATGTAAGAATGTCGCACCCATAACAATAACAACAACAACAACTACAACTACAGCAACATCAACGGGAATAGCAACAAAATAGCAATTAAAATAATAACCAAAATAATACCAACACGAAAGTATACTAAAAGCCCCAATATGAATTAGGAGCATCTTCAAAACGCAAAATTCCTACAGTTCTTGTCATTTCACGATCAGCTGTCTTTAAATTGTATTAAACTAATTTTTTGTTCTCTATTTTATTTTGATGCCTTTTTGAAAATACCTAGACTTTTAAAATGTTTTGCGTGTTGACGTTGCGACATCTTTGAAAGGAATGCCCCCCACCCTAAAGCTTTAGATGTGATTGTCAATAATGCAGTTTCGCTATCACAGTGAATACTTTTCAAATAAATTGTTTGGTCTGTCCACCTCTTCATGTCCTTCAATCGCAATTGATGAAAATATAACATATAAACGAATATGAATTGTATAAAATAATTAAAATAGAGAAACACTCTAATACAACAACAACAACAAAAGACAACACCTAACGCCCAATGAGTGGATGCATGCAAATAAAACACGATATTTTATGTATACGTATATTGTATGTACAACTCCCAAGTGAACTATTTATTCAAGCTTTCGCGTTTAATATGAATGTATATGTATGTAACAATAAACTATAGTTAATGGCAATGCAAACCGTGAGGTGTCTATTTTCTGTTGCAAGTCGATCTTTGGAGACGATGTGCAGCTTGCGCCGAATTTGCATAGATGAATTAATTGCATTAAATTAAAGCATATTTGCAGGCTGAAATAAAATATATATCAGATAATCAAATGCATCGAAGCATGCTTCTAGGGTTACGCAAATTGACAATTTCTTTTTTGAAAAAATTGTTCTAGCCCGGCCAAATCGACAGGATAGGTGGCTTCAGAATCACAAGTACCACATCTATTGAGCTGCATTCAAGGGCTATGGGATTATTATCTAAGAACCAAATCAATTGCCAACATTCAGTCGGAAGGCTAATGGAACTGGGCGATGCTTGATTACTTGATCGCTATCATAACGATTTGAATGTCCTTTTATTATTACGTGTCATTTAACTTATGACAAATAAAATCGTTATTCTAAATTTAAATGCATATATACTATATACTAATCGATAACACAATTTGAATAAAAGATGTTGATTTTTTTAATATATTAAAATTTTTATTAATGCATTTCAGTGTAAAAATTAAAATGACACATTTTTTCCTTACGTAAATTTCACATGTTTCTTTCTCCTTACTTGCGCTCGTTCGCTTCCTTGCATTTTGTGGAACGACAAATATAAAACAAAATACATATACATATATATATTGTATATATATATACTTATATCATCAATTGCAATCATTTATGTAAATAAAATTGCAATTTTATTGTTTTACATATTCACTGTTCATCCTTGCTATGTTATTGTTTTCAGTTATCTGTATATCTATTTATAAATTTATTAATAATTGATTTAAGCACTATTATTTGTTTGCTGATGATGTTTGCTAATGATGATCTCTTTCTTGCTTATTTTGTACATACAGACGTGTACATAAATTGGCTGTTGAAATTACAGTGTACTTTCACAAACAAATTTAATTTTCTATTTAGCAAAACCCAAACATAACTTAAAATATACTGTGGAGTCGGGGGACTTAAAGGACCGTCGGGTTCTGTCGGTTGAGGGGGTCGACAAAAAAAAAACATTACACATTTCCTGCTTTTGCACATATGTATATTTAGTTACTCTATGCATACATAGATTGCTTACAACAAGTTTTTATTGCATATTCGAACTGAACTTCAGCTAAAACAAAAAAAAAAAAAGAAAAAAAACCAAAAAAAAAAAAAAATTAAATCGCAAATTGAATCGAAGCACATCGAAATAGTCTTACTTTGAAGATGTTAGTATAGTAGAGGCTTAACTATAGTACACGTTTCAGAAAACAAAGAAAATAAAAACTTAAATACAATTCAGATTTGTAAACTAAAAAGCGTTGGGCAAAATTTTCTGTTGGCATTTATAAAATGTGTGAATTTTTTGAGGTACTAATTAACTCACTTGAAATGTACTTGATATGTTGGCTTGATTGTTGAGCAAATCAGATTTGTCAATAAAATGCCAAATTATTTACTTAAAAAAAAAATTGCGATTGTGGATTTTAAGTGTGTTGTCCCGAGTTGCTCGAATTTGTAAACAGTTTAAAACTAAGTAGCTCTCCGATTGCCTTGTGGTATGGTATGGTATGGTATGAATTGGTCGAATGGGGTTATGGGGCGATGGGGTGGGGCGAGTGGCGGGTGGCGGGGCTGGGTGTGGGTGTGGGTCAATATACAAAAATATATATATTATACTAAGATCTTAATGTGGTTACTAACTTGAGTGTAAGCTATTTATACTGAACGGATTTTTGTGTGTAAATATCGATATTCAGATTCTTAAATAATGTGAGATTTTTGTATCAAACGGATTGAAACAAAAACGAAAACGAAAAAAACGAAAAACAATATCGAGCCTGTACAAAATCATACCCGATAAATATGGGTAAACATAGTGACATATCTGTTTTCAATTTCTGTGAGAGATGTGTTTGGGTGTTTATATTTCTTTTATATATGTATATATATATATATTTGTTTTGAAACTGTAATATTTGACGTTGACTTGGAAAATAATGGTAGAATTGCTCATGATTGATTGGCATGGCTGTAAAATCGAATTTAGCTGCATGCCACTTGGCTTGTAATACTTTGCTTCTGTTAGGCACTATTTTATTTCAATTTTTGTTTTGTATTTTTTTTTACTTTATGCATTTCTCTCTCTCTCTCTCTTTCTCTCTCTCTCTCATTATTATGTAGTTTCACTTATGTTTTAGTGTTGTTTATTTTGTAGTTTATTATTTCTCTTATACTTTTTGTTTGGGCTTTTATAAATCGGTATTTGTAATTTGTAATTTGTAATTGTAACTGTTTCATGATTAAAAATTTTTTAAAATAGTAATTTCTCATTTTAACTTTAGTTTTATTATTATTATTGTTACTTTTTACCCCTTTTCAAGTGTTTGTTTGTATTTGTATTTGTATTTGTATTTGTGTGTGTGTGTGTCATTTATACTAATGTTTACATATCCAAAGTTGTTCAATATTTCGTACTATTTTTTTAATTTTTTTTTTTTTTTTGATTTTCATTATTGTTTATGCCTTGTTGTCGATAAATGTACAAATTTCCCTGCTGCATGTCAGTTGCTTATTTTTAGCATGCAGTTGAATTTAGTTTTATTACTAAAAAAAAAAATGCGTATTTGTTTTAATCGTACAACAACGAAATACTTTACATTTATAAATATGTATTATACTTTCATTACCTTCATAAAGTTATAGTTTAGGCTTAGTAACTACATTTACATACGAAAACGATACTATTTTACATTTACAATACAATTTCTTTTATATTAAATTAGTATTAGCATTTTTTTTTTTTTCGTTTTATTGTTGTTTTGTATTTCTTTGTAATTATCGGTGTCGTTCACCAAATGCAGAACCAACCAACGCAAACCATCCAAGTAGTGACCATCGATATCCTTAAAAATGGCACCACAACGGCGCTGGCTAAGGTGCAAGTGCAATTATAAATTAGTTCGCAGCATTTAATATGGCATTAGATCACGATACGCATTTCTATAGAGAGCTGCTTGGCTGCCCAGGTTTGAAGTGGGCCAGCCATCAGCCATTAGAGCTGGATGGTCACGGATTGATTGGAGACTTGATTGGAGTGCACTTGATGCCAAGATCTTTTGCTCACATTGTTCGTTCGATCTTGGTTTTTGTTTGGGTTGTTGTTGTTGTTATTGTTATTGTTTTCAATTTGTTTTTTCTTTTTTTTTGCATTTTTCAAATAGTTTTGCGTATAATAATGCATTTAAATCAATAGTTAATCATTTTAATAACGGTGGATCGTTCGATTCATGCTTAAATGAATTATTATATATTTATACTATAGTTACATAAGTATATAGAGAAATAACATCGTGGTTTATACACACACAGTTGCTAGCAATTTTGTATTTTGTATTTTGTATTGTGTATTTTGTGTTTGTTGTTGTTCTTGCTAACTGCAATTGCATAGAAATAGAAAAATGTGTTTCGAGTAGTTAGTTGTAATGTTGTTTCATGTTGTCGTTGTGCATATTTTTCGTACTCCTCTTCAACGTTAGTAGCTGCTAACAAAGTGTGTGTGTTTTATGCTCCTTAAAGGCAACAACGCTTCGAACCAATGCACTCTCAGCTCAGCTTAGATAATCCTAACAACCTAGCGCAACTGTTGCCAATTTTGAATAAATGTGGCTTAAACAGCAATATACGTTTAATTAAAAATAACTAATGTAATGTTACTTTACATTATTTTCCATAACTCTAATAGCTATAAACACACACAAAAAAAAAAAAACTTGCAATATTTTTGTTATATATTGAATAAAATGTAGAATTCAAGATGTAATTTTGTTTGTTTTCTCTGCGTTTTTCGATTTTTAAAAGTAAAATGATTGACTCTCATTTACTTTGAAAAATCAGCGCTCGACAACTGCTTCGGTTTTTGTATGTTTCGTTTCGCATCAAAAAAAAAAAATAATAAAAAAATAAAAAGCACAAAAATAAAGGAGATAAAAATACAAATTACACACAAAAAATATGTTTTAAGTAACTTTGAGATCATTTAAATGTATTTTTTTTATGTATGTGAATATGTATATAAAAAAAAATTACTTTTCTGACAGTTTCAACTGACACACAATTGCAACGCACAACACAGTAAAGTACAGCACAGTACGGTACAACAGAGTACACTCAAGAAAAAATTCGGTCTACTTTTCAAAACGGACGGTAGTGTCTTTCTACTAGATACCTCTTAAATATTAATTTCAGATAGTTTATTAATTTAACACTTGACATTCTTCTTTTTGTTTTTACGCTTGCGGATAAATGAAGAAATTTAAACATCAGTTTTTGAATTACAAATTTTCTGAATTGAAGAAAACCACTGGAACATTGGCAAAAATTGTATAATATAGTTGTGAGAATAATAATTTGAATTACCTAAAAATACAAAATATTCCTAAAAACACCATATTTTTAGGATTGTCGAGAGAAACCAAGCGCTTCAAAAATGTATTATACAAATTTCGAAATGATTTCGAAAAAACGTTCTCGTTTTCGGCGTGACTCAATTCAATTTAGATGCGAATTTTTTTCAGAGTGTATACAGCACAGCATAATAGCACAGAGCAGCAACAGAGCAAATCCGCACAGACAGACCGATAGAACTATGGAAACCATTCAGCCGAAGGATTGTCCGATTTGTTGTTAAAGGCAATCTAATTTAGCGAACGGACATTTGAAAGGTTGGACAGTCCCAACAGGCTACATACATGATTGATTTAATTGCTGATGCAAGTGCATAAATTACCATACATATAAATGAATATACACGCAATTGGGGGGGGAGGAGGGGTTCGCTTCGGTGTGTGCGTGAGTGACTGTGTGCGTGTGCGCTTCTATGTGTGTGTGGGTGTGTAGATGTGTGTGTATGTGTGTGTGTGTGTGTGTGTGTGTGTGTGTTTGCTGTAGTATAATCAATCGCAATATTTGTATGCACAGCTAACAATTGATGGCCCACCCATTTTACACCAACTACTACTGCTCACAGTCGGGAGCATCGGGAACGACGTCGGTCGCATTGACAGTCGCATTGGCAGCCACATTGACCGCCACGGCCATGGCGGCTGCCGCATTCACCTGGCGCAGCATTCGCAGCTCGTGCGACGCCTCATCGTTGTTAGCATCGTCATCATCATCATCATCGTCGTCATCAGCCTTGCTGCTGACACCCATGCTGCTCAAATTGAGCGCCGCATTCTCAGCGGCTGCGTTCAATTGCGTATACTCCTGAGCGGACAATTTAAGGAACTGTTCATAAGTTGTTAGGTGTTGTTGTTGTTGTTGTTGCTGCTGCTGTTGCTGTTGTTGCTGTTGCTGTTGCTGCTGTTGTTGTTGTGGTTGTTGGTGGTGATCGGCATCAAAGTGCTGGTGTTGCTGCTGTTGCTGCTGTTTGCTATTGTTTGCAACACAGGCGCTGTAGGGCGGAGGCGGTGGACGGTCCTGGTAGGTGACAAGTTGTTGTTGTTGCTGCTGCTGCTGCGTTGAATGTTGCTGCAGCAACAAGTGGGTGCTTTGGCGCAGCTGTTGCTGCAATTGCTGATGTTGTTGTTGTTGCTGCTGCTGTTGCTGTTGCTGCTGTTGCTGTTGCAGCTGGTAGCTATTCTCTGTTTGCACCTGCGCATACATCACTTCATCTACTTGCAGAGCTGAGATGCCACTCAATTGTTGTTGTTGTTGCTGTTGTTGTTGATGTTGTGGCGATGTTGGCGATTGTTTGACAATGGCCGAAACCGTTTCCTGTGCGCTGTGCAACGTTGTCGCTGAGCTGCACGCTTCCTCTGCGCCGCTGGCTACTGCTGCATTGCTGCTGTTGTTCTTGCTGCTGTTGTTATTGTTATTGCTATTGATGGCATTATCATTATGGTTGTTGTTGGTGCTGTTGTTGCTGTTTGTGTTTGTGTTGCTGCTGCTGTGATTATTATTATTGTTACTGTTGCTGTTGCTGTTGTTGTTGTTATTGCTGCTGCTGCTGTTGTTGTTGTTGTTGTTAGTTGTGCTGTTGTTATTGCTGGTATTGTGGCTTCTACTCGTAGTGTTGCTGTTGCTGTTGCTGTATTCGCTGATTTGTGCATTGGTGGGGATCGCGGACAGATTGGGCGCTGCTTCATGCAGCTCATGCTATTCCTTTATAAGGCGATAGATATGATGCGTGGTGCCGCTGTTCTGTGCCGCCACCTCAAACACGTACGCTATGCATAGCAGTGTCTCTTTCGTCTCTTGCGCTCGCATTACCTAGAATCAAATGAAACAAAGCGAGTCAGCACGAGTGCAAAAAGAGATGAAGAGATGAATCATCAGTGATTCCTGATCTGATTGTGGAGAGGAGGGATGAATGCTTCGAACTCACTTGCAGTATTGTAAAGTTCTCGAGCACACTGTTCATCATGTAGGGTTCCAGGTAAGTACTTCAGCTTCAGTAAGAAAATAAATCATGTACTCGCACATGGGCGAGCGCTGAATGCCATAAACGTAGCGATTGTTCTCCAGGCGCGAGTATTCGTGCTCCACCTTTTCCACAACCTGTTTGCCAACGAGCAAACGATTGTCGAGCAGACGAGCTCAATGTTCTCATTGCTTTCGTATCTGCAAGAAACACACAAGCAAACGGTCACAATATCGTTAAGTGAAAGGGGAAAGCCAGAGAGAGAGACAGAGAGAGAGAGAGAGAGTTATAAACTTACTGGCTTGTTACGCCATAGAAATCGCCTGTTTCACTGCCGGTCGTTACGTCCGTGTTGAGATCCGCCCAACATTTAACAAGGTAGAACGCATTCTGTGGACCTTGCTCGTAGAGCTCTTTGAGACCGCCGGATTTCTCCGGAAATTTGTCAAATATTTGTCGTATATCAACAGTCTGCAATTAGTTTTGAATTAGTCATATTCACAATGATTGTCGTTGTTGGCTGAGCTCACCTCAAGTAGCGGATCGGAAAAGGATGGCTTGCCGCCCAGCTGCACGAATAGATGTCGGTGATACTGTGTAGATACAGGAAACAAACCAGTTAGATATGTATAAGTATACACATATATATATATATCGATTTATTTATGATTTCACATACGATTTCATCTCTTTGGATTTCCATGAAGGCCGTAAACTCGAGCAAGCGGAATTTCTGCGTTGCAATGGCGCGTCCCTCCCATGGCAATTGAGCGGGCGGAATACCAGCCTCGATCTCGCCGGACACCGCCGTCGAGGGCTTGCCGGGCGTGTAGGGCGGCTGGGTGAACGGCTTGATGCTGTAATCATAGAAACTATTGGTCAATGCAAATGCGTTATGTTTTTCCAATTGCGGTTTTCGTTTTGGGGCAATGCAACCGCAACGGGCGTTGTCAACTTACTCTTGCGATGTGCTCGGCTGCAGTCCGGGTTGCCAAAATTGCTAAACCATCCATCCAGATAGCAAGACGTGCGAGCAAACAGGGATGGAGAGCGCCAAGGAATAATTAGAAAGAGAGAATAAATGTTATATTCATATTGGATTTGTGAATTAAGTCTCTGTAAGACGTTAAGAACAGTAAGCTAAGCACGAGATTTTTTAATTGACATGGTTACACAGCTGATGATAGCACGCATAAATGATGAGCGATTGATTGATTGATTGACTGATTGACTGATTGACTGATTGGTTGTTTGATTGTTTGCGAGCTTACTAAACAAGTATTACATACGACTACGAATTCGAATACGAATACAGAGGCTAAGTACTCGAATTATCAAAAACTAACACAAAGTTTTGTTAAATATACAACATATACATATACATATATATATATATATATATATTGATAGATCATAATATATATAAATATACGTATTTGTATACAAATATAGATTATTAACAGTTCTTGTTGGCATGTAAAAAAGCAAGGAGTCGATTTCAATGAGCAAGCGAGAACTGAGCAGGTGGGTTTGGGTCTCAAAATAAACAAAAAAGAACCGGAGCACAGTTGAGGAACGAGTAGCGCAAGTGGCGAATAACGAGCAGCGAGCAACGAGTCAAAGGTGGTAAGTAACGAGTGCCAGCGTAACGACTGAAAAGTGATGATTAGCAATAAGTAGAGACCATCAAATGGTAACATTATGAATGTTAGCTGACGTATTTGTGAGTCAAAGGCTAGAGAATATCATGAAGAGTCAGGATGACGACAGAAGCGAGGCAGGTTAATGTGTACATGTGTGAAAGAGAGAGAGAGAGAGAGAGAGAGATTGTAGATAGTTAGCAATGGATAAAGGGGAGCACAAATGGAACACACACTCTAGTAAGAATGGGGCTTGAGAAAAAAGACAGCGAGAGAATGAGCGAGCGAGCGAGAGATAGAGAGAGAGAGAGTGTACACAAACGATGCAACACAACACGTGATCGCCAGAGCAAAGAAAAGTGTGATAATGAGTAGCTGTTGTTGTTCTTGTTGTTGTTGGTGTTGTTGTTGGTGTTGTTGTTATAACTAATGAGAGTGCAACTTGTGCAATTAACTAATTGTGGGAGTTTTATCAGTGTAGATGTGTGCAAAAAAGTGAATTTGATTTGCGAGCGATCTGAGACAGAGACAGAGCGAGAGCGGGAGCGAGAGGGAGTGGGAGAGTGTGAGAGAGAGAGCTGTGGTGTTGCAGTTAGTGGTGGTGGTGATGGTATTGGTGGTTGTTGTTGGTGGTTGTTGTTGTTTGTTTGGAGGATTGTACACCGATGTGAAGTGGCATTTGGCGGTTCGAGTGGTTCGTATTGCTTAGCTTGGATAACATAAACGCTTGCTTACGCCCGGATACAATGGCGGATGGTGCAACGGCGGCGGCGGCGGCGGTGCTGGTTGTGCCCCATCAGCGACAGATGCTGGTGATACGGCACCTGTTGTTGCCTCATTTGGTTGTTGAAGCTGCTGCTGCTGCTGCTGATGTTGTTGTTGCTGTTGTTGTTGTTGTTGTTGTTGTTGTTGTTGTAGGTGGTAAACTGCTGCAACGGCCGCCGCATGTTGGTGATGGTGTGGATGCATGTGGTGCGGCAAATTGTGATGGGAATGGTGGGCGTGGACGTGGGCATGGGCGTGGTGGTTGTGGTGTCGTGGCGACAACGATGTAGGTACTGCTGCAACGGAATTGGACGCCACACCAGACCCAGTAATAGCTGCAACAGCTGCTGCCGGCGACTGTACAGCAGCGGCAGCGGCAGCAGCTGCAGCTGCGGCGGCGGCGGCGGCTGCTGCGGCAACACCCACCTGATGGTGGTGGTGGTGCGGATGATGGTGGTGGTGTTGGTGGTGTGGGTGGTGTGGGTGGTGGTGCTGTGGATGCTGATTGTGGGCGGAATGCGAAAGATGCTTCGAATGGTGCACGCCCGCCGTCAGCGCCGAGGCGGCCAGGGCAAGATTATTGGCCGCCTGTGCGGAGACAATTTGTGAGCTGGTCATTGAGCTCATGGCCTGCAGGGTCTGCTCTTTCTCATTGAGTAAATGCAAGGAGACACCATTGGGTTCCTGGAAAAAGAGTTTCATTTTTTGTTTGTTTTCTTTTTCGATCGCGTGGGTGTGTCTCTGTTTGCCTGTGTGTGTGTGTGTGAGTGTGTGTGTGTGTGTGTGTGTGTGTGTGGCGAGACACGCCAAGCAGAGCCACAAGGGCTGATCGAGCTACTGACGTCACACAGCTGGGGATAACTGACAAATGGGTAACACAAAGCCACAAAACTCACTTGCTGTTTTACAAAACACACGCCGATGTCACTCAACACGCACACACGCGGCGCCTGATGGTATGTGTGTGTGTGTGTGTCTGTGTGTGTGTGTGTGTGTGTGTGTGTGTGTGTGTGTGTGTGTGTGTCTGTGTGTGTGTGTGTGTGTGTGTGTGCGTAAACGTGAAAAAATGAACTGAAATCGCTAAAACTGATTCTGATGCTGTTTCTAACTGGTCTGGTGGTCTTCTGGCGTGGACCCCACTTGCAACTGAAAAACACATCCTTGCTTTTCATGCTCATCGTTAGGTTTGAAAATTTGAAACTTGAACTCAAAATACTGTGAATGTGAAGCAGCAAAGTTCAATTCACACATAATGCATTTAGAAATCATCATCATTTTTAGAGGTGCAAATATGGTAAATATATAAGTAAAAACATTCTCGCACTTTGTGATACTTTGTGTGAATTCAATTTTACGATAACTGAGAGAAAAAAAAGAGGAAGAAAACCCAAATAAATAATGTACTTATGCAAAGCAAGTGGACAATTAACGACAGATGGTTACTCCTCACACTTCACTTTCTTGTTGCTGCTTGTTCTTTGATACGAGTATACCTGAATGAACGTACGTACGATATATATATATATACATTGGTTGTTTGGCACACTTACGACTTTGATTTTAGCTTGGATCTCACGGAGTTTCCGTCTGGCGAGCACCTGAATGTGGGAGCTCACTTGTTTACGAGTTCTCGTCTTGCCCGTGCGCAATTTGATGTAACGCGCGATTAGCTCGTTGCGCCCTGTAATGGAAAAAACAAAAACAAAAACAAAAAGAAAAACAAAAAGAAAAAGAAAAACAGAAACAGAAACGAAAACAAAAAACAAATGAAAACCAATTAAATAATGCAATCCAAATAGTTTACACATCAACAGACACTCAAATAATTATACATGCTTATGAGAATTGTAATTTGAACATTTCCAAATAGATATGCATTTTGGGCGTCTGCTTAAGCATTGCATAATACCCTTAAAAAATATATATATAAAAAAAACTAGTGTAGTCTGGGTATTTGGAATAATTTGGAAATCTACAACATTATTCTTTGAAAATATCAGAGCCAGAGACACTTGTGTCACGGTGTAAGATGATTATTATTATGATGATCATCTCACTGTCGGAATCCAATTGTTCAGCAATGCAATCAAATCATTCTTAATTCTTAATAAATTAAAAGAATTCGCAACATTTTCTTTTTCAAAAACCAATTCACAATGAGATTATGAGATGTCATTTTTCCTGCCTGTTTGAAACCTGTACTTATTTTATATGATTTGAAAGTTATTTAAATTAGCTTTTCAAAATGTATAAACTTGTATGTATGTGTAGCCATCTCGTAGATGTAAACATTGTTAGTGGATTAGGTTGTATACCAATCTTAAAACGTATTCATAAATATTGCGAAAGTGCTTTAATTCTTTTAGTCCCTGAGATGCATGTCTACAAGGCTAAATAAATATGTCTTTTTATGCAGATACAAATTATACATTATTTACATATTATATATATTTGCACAACATCATATACCCACAATATATATATACATATATATATATGTATATATTATATACATACAAATCATGGAAATGTATTTAGAAGTCGCGACATCAGCTGCCGGTTGCCGGTTGAATCCCTATGGGATGAATCGAAAGCTGCTTGAGTTGAGCACAATTTCCATTGAAAGCCCGACGACGACAAAATTTAAACGTGTAAGCAGAATGTGCCCCAAACTGACGTCAGTGTCGTTGCCTTGGCATTGCCCCATTGCTGCTTGGAAGGCGGTGGGTGGTGGGTCATCCTTTTAGGTTTTAGCTTTGGCTTAGCAGCAGCAGTAAGGCAGCAAAGGCAGCAAAGGCAGTCGACGACTCCTGCTCTAGACAGCGATTCCGCTTTTATTGTACACACGCTTATGCGTTCACTAATTACATTCTTGGCATAGTTTCAGTTCTAACCGAATAAAATTATTTTCAGCAACTCAAACCCCATTGTACAGGGGAGGCGGGCAAACAGTCAGGCAGCCAGGCAGCCAGGCAGTCAGGCTGCCAGGCAGCCAGGCGCACGCATATTACCGGATCCAGCGCACAATGTTCGGGGGCTGCTTGTGTTGGGGTTCGGTTAAGAATTACTAGCGTACAGACACAGGCATACAGATATACAGACACAAACTCAGGCACACAGACACGCAGCCACCCACCAACTAACCCAGGCAACCCACCACCTACTAATGCTTTTGTTAACGCCCTTGGCTCCCCATCCAGCCAGGGTGGAATCCAATGATGCTGCACACTTTGTCTTGGAGCCGACTAAAAAGGCTACTTCAGTTGGTATCAAAATCAATAGGTAACCAACCAATCCCACCTGATACCTAAAACTGGTTTAATGCGCCAGTTTTGAAATGTGCAATTCAAATATATGCATATTAGTCTGTTTGCCATAATATTTAAGCCAAAGTAGTTCATACAGTTCACATTACTGATTCGATTCATTATGCAGACTTAATAGTCACGCAAAGAGCAATTTCTAATAAAAAACGAAGTTAACTCCGTTTGAAAATAAGAGGTTTAACAATTGCTTCGATATACAAATACATATTTATATATATTTCTGTGCGTAACTGGTTCATCTAGTTCACTTGGTTGGTTCATAGTACAGAAGTGTGGTGCCCTGAACCCCAACTGTGCGTAGATGCCAAGTAACGTCCCAAGTCTCTCACTCAACGACACACACACATCACACACAGCACAGATACACACACAGACACACACAGACACACTCACAGAGACAAGCGCGAACAATTCGTAGATACTTAATATGAATAGGAAGAGCGGAGCATTTCAATTTCTTCACGCTTTAAATCTTTGCAAATCGATGGGCCATGGCCCAAAAAAAAAAAAAAAAAAAGGAAGAGCGGAATTCAAATGGAATTTATGGCAAAACTTTGTGTGCGACACAAGTATGCAAAGATGTGTGTGTGTGTGTGTGTCTCTGTGTGTGTGTGTCTGTGTGTGTGTCTATTTTTTGTACTGTGAGTAAAATGGATATTATGTGATTTAATTATATGGAATTGTTTTGTGCCGCTTGTATGACTTATAGAAATGAATCACATTAAGCGATTCAAATCCAAAACAAATGTTGAATCCATTTGGCATGCTTGCATTTCACAGTTTGAATCCATTATCTAAACTAAAATACACACATATGTTGTTAATTTGTCGTTAACTAATACTAAATACATTTAAATCAATTAAACCGAGTGCACAGCACTATGTGTGTTGAGTCGGTCGACGGTTCGACGGTTCGGCGTTCGGCAATTTAAATCATTGACATATGTATGTCAATTAAATTGCTGCTATCTAGCATCGAAAATGTTAATTAATTATGTGAAAAACTGACCCCAAGGTTTATTGCAGTTCACATTGCTCAATTGATATTCGTTGATCGCGATAGGTGCAGCTACTAATTGAATAAACACATCTCTTTCACAGTTGCACACTGCGAAAATACTCCTCAAATATCTTACAAATACACAATAAACAATACAAGTTATTGTGTGTACGCTTATCGATATCAATTCAGATAATTGTCAAGTCTAATTTTCTTTCAAGTCGCATCTGCCCAGACTTTATTGGAGCGTGTTAAAAAGCATCCGCTCGCACCACACACACACACACACACACACACACACACATATGCCAATGTGGGAAAGGTTAGTCGGTCAATTGATGTGTCGTTGTTTTTTATAAATCATAAGCTCATCTATAATATATTTTATTATTATGCTCTTTCAGTTCCAATTGAATAACAACAAATTGATAGACCAAAAATAAAGCCAATAACTGGTTTTAGGATAGGAAACATATTTTTGCTGGCTTCGATCTGCACACATTTATAAAATGAAGGATCGAATGGAAATCGGTTCAGCTGTGACCCAGTTATGACATGCGAGGAGTTCATGTACAAATTTGATTCGCCCCACAATCTATATAAATATATAATTTTGTACTAGCTGCCAAATTCAATGTCATTGCAAAATAGCTAAGCCGTTAAGGTAATTGGATTTTACAATTTAAAAAACCGACCGATTCTTACTATGAAAGCTATGATATAGTAGCTCGATGTGGATAGTTCTTTCTCCACATGTTGTTCATTCAAGAACCAATCATTCGACCGATCGTTCCTATGCCAGCTACATACATATATGAAATGGTCTCCTTAAATGCGTAACAAACTTCACGACTAAATATACAAATTCTCTGCAAGGATGTCAAAACTGAGTATTTATAAAAATTACAGTTAAAAACTTATTCGAAAATATCATGTTGCAACTGTGGCACAATATTGTTAGGAATAGCACGAATTGTATGAGTGAGCATGACGAATGTTTTTTATATTGTTTGTTGCACATTTAAACCAAACTAATTTTTTCAGTGAATTGAATCCAGTAGTTAGCTCGTGATTTAATGGTACTTCAAACGAGGTAAACTTTCTAAATAGATAAAAGAAACATTTAATCCTGCACAGCCAATTTGGCTACCATATAAAATGAGTGGCCGCAGCTAATCGAGAAGAGCCCCAACAGCGAGCAAATGCACACAAATTTAATCATACACACACACATTGATATCTGTATATATATAAATATATGTATATATGTATGTGCATGTGCATGTGTATGTGTTTGTAATAGCTATTGCCAAGTCGCCACTATCGGCGCCACATATTTGTGGCAGCAGCTGGAGGAAGTGGCAGGCAAAAAAGTTTCCAGGCCACAAATTTCACAGTAGGCAGCATCAACAGCTAGCGGCATCAGCATCAGCAACAGCAACAGCAATAGTTGCCCCCTAAAAACGCGCTGCATGCAGCTGTCCATCCGCCATGTCATGTGTCATAAACTAGTGGGTGCATGTGGGTGCATGTGCATGTGTGTGTATGTGTGTGTGTGTGTGTCTATGTAAATATTTTGAAAATTAACAACCAAACAATGGTTATATTTTCACACATAACGCAGCGGCGACAGCAGCAGCCACAACAGTGTGCTACCCACCCAAGGCACCTACTTCCCCCAGCAACGATTTACCGATATTTTGATGGCTAATGCAGCGCAGTTGTCTCGTGTTTAGCCCGCAGCCAAAACATTTTTCCAATTTGCCAACAACAAACACAACAAGAACGGCGCGTTGCTCGCTGGTCGGCTTTGGCAGCAACTCTTGCAGCTGGCGGGCGTCAAGGAATTCCGAGAGTGGTTGCATTAGCCACGTGTTGCCAATAAATAAAATTTTCGCCGCATCTTGTCACAATGTTTCGCATATTTGGGCAAATCGCTTAAAGAGTAGTGCAGCTCAAGCATCGAACCGATGGCGGCGCTACTACAGTACAACTAATTTATAACGAACCAACCGATACTCCGATACTGTTTGAGAATTCTAATACTAATAAGTATATTTTTATACCAAATTTGCTTGGCTATGCAATAATAATTATGCACATATCAAATTTGTTTAAATGTATACACATAATAATATAATGACTACAAGTTTTACTATCATTAAATATGCATGCGGAATATGCAAGAACTTTTAGTAACAAAGTGTTATAATAAAATACGAATTTAAACAATTGTTATTAGAGATCTCAGAGACTACAAAACTAGACTAGAATATAACTTCTCCCCATACGCATATATATATTGATATTGATTGACGATAGCAACAAAAGCAACATCAATTTGTTGGTTTGTGAATAAATCAGATGGAATATTTAGAAATCAATATCAATTATCTAATACATTATTCAGTAAGTAGATCAAATCAAACAATAATCGAACATCTTCATCAACTAATAATCAGCCAAGTTCAAAGCTATATATTTTTGAATTCTAGTATTATATTATATATATACCAATGGATATATATAAATGATTTGATGGATATGATAATATCTGTATAACATATACATATGTTAAGGTATCATAAATTCTCAAAGCAGAACTCCACAAATCACATTGCTTCGTTGCTTCTCATGGCTCAATGCTTGCAACGGGGGTAGTCAAGGTGGGATTTGCAGTTTTCTGCTGCCCCAAAAACAGCCCCTTTCCTCCAATCTGCTCCACAATAGCCGAAAAAAAAACAACAAACAAGAGCCGGAGCGGTGCAATGAAGGTGTCAGCTCGTGCTGACGGCAAGGTGAGCCAAAGTGAAAAGTGAAAATTAATTACTTGCTCAAATACAAAAAGCATTCAGGCAATGGACACGAACGAACAAGCCGTAGCCGAAAAACAACAAGCAGACAAAGGACGAAAGGACGAATGGGCATTGGGCGAGTCCGAGCATAAAATGAAAACAATATCCTCTGGGACATAAATTACAAAACTTGTTGTTTATGCGTGTAGACGTCTCAAATAAAACACACACACATACACAGGATGCGGCTAGCAGCAGCAGCAACACTAACAACAGCAGAATATCACCAGACCATGCCTATCTCTATCTTTCTCCCTCTCTCGCTCCTATTAATGTGTGTGTGTGTGTTGGGTGGAAAGAGGCGCAGCATTCTCACAATTTGCCATCGTAATTCCATTGAGCCGCCATTTGGGTGCGGCCAACAGCGGCTAAAACAGCAGCAGCAACAGCAGCAGCAGCAGCAGCAACAGCAGCAGACGGAGACAACACGCCGACGGCGTCGTATGTCCTTTTAGCTTTTATTGTAAATACTACAACGCCCGCCTACACGCCCACTGCTACAGTATTCTCACACAATAACACACACACACACACACAACACTGCTCACGTTTACAATTTTACTTGTCAGCACATTTAGCCCCACTCCAACAGTTGCTGTACACGGTGTCAAACTTTGAACGCCGCTGCCATCGCCTGTTGCCGTTCCCAACCCTACCCCTTTCCAACCCTACCACCCACTTTCAGCAGCAACCTGGGCGCACAAACCGCTTTGACGCAACTTTCAACTCAAGGTTCAAAGTACGGAATTTATGTTTTCTTTACACGGACGCCGCAAACATACGCCAAAAAAAACAAAAACCAAAAAAGAGGAAAATTAAATAACAAACAAAAAAAAAACAGTAAGAATGCTCTGGTCTATAGAGCTCTAGTACGAGATACCCTGGGTTTCTTATTTTTTGGGATGTGATCAGTAATATGTCACGATATATTTTATATACCTGTCAAATTGGGGCTTCTTTTGCTATCGGATATTAAATATTCATGAAACGGCGAGAGTTTCCGTTCAAATAATCTCAATAAATACATTCAATTTTTTAGTCTCTGAGCAATAGAATGCTAATTTTGTAATGCATTCTAATTTTAAAGATTTTTGTAGAAAAAAATCAAGAACTCGTTCATTTTGAAATATGAATTACATGAAAATAAATAGCCGATAAATCAATAATAATCGATATTTGATGTTCATCGAATTTAGTATTTGCTCATAATTTGATCGATTTAATTTAAAAATATATACATACATAAATGTATTATTAGATGAAATAAATAAATGATCAATCGATCATTTGACGATTTATGGGTTAATCAATTATTCAACTCGATTAATAAACTAAACTCCAAAATTCGCTTAACGTTGACTCTAAAGTTATTTACATATTTACAGCATTTATCTGTCTTCCCCACTTGATTTATATAGTTTATGATTAGTGATCTAAAGACTACTTTTTTCGCAGTTTTAATATACTGTTTGCAGGGTATGGGAATACGAAAAAGAAAACCAAACTTTGGCCACCGCAAAAATTCCTTTTTGTTTTCTGTTTTTACACAACCAACCGATGGACACAGAGACAGACAGACAGACAGACATACACACACACACATACAAGCACACGCACAACACATGAGAGAAGGAGATAAGTCAGAGTCAACCAAAGTGGAGAGTTCAAGTATCTATAATATATATATAGAAGGCACATATATATACAAAATAGGTGTGAATCTAATCGAATGAAATATTATCTTTTTCATATACAGATATATGCATATAGTTCACAAGATTAAGAAACTTAAATTTTTATTTTTATATTTGTATGTTGAAACGAGTTGAAATTGGTGTCGAAATGTTGCACTTACCATACATTTTACCCTCGTCTGATAATATAATCTTTCTGCGTCCACATGGTGGATATATTGACAGTGCCTCTTGAAAGCTTTGCTCAATGTCCGGACTCCAGACACCCTCGGCATCGGCGGATGATAAATCCTTTTCGTCCTGCAATAAGTCAATATCAAATATATATATATATATATATTTATGTTTATTATGTATGTATTATATATATGTATATAGATAGTTCTGGATTTAATCAGGCGACAATCATCATTTTGAAAAGTCAGCGTAGTCAAAGTCTATTACTTTACCTTGGAAATTGCGGTCAAATAAATCATTTAGGTAGGGACATGCTTCCAATTAGGTGTCCCATGTCTTTTGTCATACTGATAAAGTCAATTATATTGATTGCCCTGCCCTCGTAGAATATTCACAGATACCAGCCAGAGCAGTTGTTAATGATTAGGTATACGTATGAATGTAGAAGTGGAAGTATTTTGGGCCATCGTCATTTTGCAAAACGATGTTTGCTTTCTAGCCCTTAAATGAACACAGCCTGGTCTGGCTCCCACGTACCTGCCAATTCTAAGACCTACAAATGCAGTTTAACTCATGTTTGCGCAATCATATGCATATTGGAGTTGACCTCATGGCCAAATGTCCTATATATCCTATCCTTTATGTCTGATCCTTTGCATAACTACTTGCTCAGAGAGCATTTAGAAATGTAGCATGGCTATTCAGATAGTTAAAATGATGTTGCTGTTCCACCTGTGGATTGCAATAGTTGTGTTGTGTGGTAAACTGTAATACTTACATCGCTCATGTCGCCAACATCCAAGTTTTTACTGTCCACCATGCTGCCATTTGTGTCTGCCGATCCCAGGGGACCAGGAGGACCGGCATTCACTGGTGGCCACGGAGATGGTATGGTGCCGGGTCCGACTGTAATGGAAAAAAACCAAGCAGAAAGAAAACATTTTAGATGCGTGTCTGAAAAGGTGTGTGCGTGTTTTGAGTATGTGTATGTGTGTGTGTGTGTGTGTGTGTGTGTGTTAAACCTGTCACACATTTAAAATGCAGCTTAAGCTCAATAAATCCGTGTCATAGTCAGCGCAACCCCAACACTCCGGAGCACGCCCAACCTAACCTGTCTAACAAACACGACCGGGTGTCCGTCCGGGTGTCCGTCCGGGTGTCCGTCCGGGTGTTGATATGCATTATGAATTTGCGTGCTGTACCAGATGAAAAGCGCTTCAGCACACACTTAAGTACGCTTTCCATTTGATAACAATGGCGCCAATAGCCATCGAAGCTGTGCGACGAGGCGCGCGGGCAGAAGCGGGGGTGGATGTGGATAGGCGTTGCGAGGCGCGTTAGACAACGAGACAATCAACGCGCCTACTCTAAATTGATAATCATCATGTACCACACCATGTCGGCGCACAACTATGTAAGCACTTGGCTAAATACATCAACGAGGGGCACACATACTCGTACACCAACTTACTATTCACAAGTGGCATATGTGTGTGGTGGCATCATCTTGTATGGAGACACGTGCACACTTTAATCGGGTCAATAACCATGTTCAATGTGCAACTAAGTAACTAAGGCATACGAGCTAACTAAATCAAATTGACTCTGGAGTTTGTTATATAATTGAGTCGTGAGGCCTTAAAGGCCTTACACAATTTATTAATCAGTCTTATGGTATTTCTGGTGAAAACTTCTGGTTTATTATAAGTCATTGCTTAACTAAACCAAATTAAAGTTAAGTTGAGTTGCTCAACTCAAAGAGATATTAAAATAAGTTAAATAAAGTATCTAACCGTATTGCTACAAAAATAGTCGCAGTATCGTGTCAAGTGTTGTAGTCAATAAATCGATATTATTTCAAAAAAGGAAAGATTGGAAGGTTTTGCCTGGTTGCTATCGGAAATCTATATGCATCGATATTCAGAATATTTTGAATGTTATCGATAAAATGAAATATTTTTTGATTTGCGCGGGATATACCAGATCTTTTCAAATTCAAAGTCGCAAGTGATTGTGATCCTGGGCTGTTGATTCTGATCAATAATATAAATATTCAATGGGCTCAGAGATGCCTTCTTCTGCCTGTGACCTAATTGTGCACACAACCATTAAGGCCTTCTTAGCCACTTTTAATGCGTCCAGAAAATAAAAACTTTAGAACGAGTTTCATACGCAAATCAAAGATGAAACTCCGGATTCATCTTTGGCTAAAAGCTTCCCAAACCCATTCAAGCCCAGACCCGTGCGTGGCACAAATATGGCACCTGGCTGTTGGCAACTTGTACTCGTAAAAATAAATCAATTGAACGACATCAACAACTTGCCAATTTAAGGAATAGTTGGAAATGTACATTCCCAAGAAGATTTCGGTTATTATTGACCTGCCCAAAGGCCTTATTATCTAATAGCTGCATCATAAGTTACAGAAGCAGCGGCGATAAGGGCTGGACTGCCTCTACCTGAGCAAGTGCCCCTCGTCCCTTAGCTAGGTAGGCTACGAGGCAATAACAATGGGATTGCGTTTTTTCTTTCGGCGACTACGATTTAGACGCTGTCCAAGTGTCAAACTCACCGGATAGAGCCTTGAATTCCTCGAGGGAATCCAAATGTTTGGAGAACGGCGCCACTTTGGAGCCGTTGTCTGTGTCGTTTTTCAAATAAATTTTGGAATAATTCTCAGAGCACAACAGATTTGAAAACAAAACGCACACAAACAAAAAGCACAAAATTCAGTTATTTCGAATCATGAAAAAGTATTTAGAACGTTTTTTGTTTTTGTTTTTGTTTATTTTTCTGACAAGGCGGTCGTTGTTTCAGTTGATTTTATGAGTTAAATATTTGTCGCATTTTTATTTGAATTTTAGAGGGGGTGCTTGGGGGCGTTTTGGCACAAGGGGAGGCAGCACACGGCAGCGGGGGAGGACTTAAAGAGCAAAAGATTAGCGAAGAATTTTCTATTTGGCTTTTTTACTCAGAGACAGACGCACGCACAAAAGCCGAGCAGGAGAGCGACAGAGAGGAGACAGCGAGCGAGCGAGAGAGCGAGAGAAAGCGAGAATGGAGATAATAAGAAAACGCGTCTGTTTGATTGGAACGCGCAGTGAAAACTGAAATGCCTTTTTATGTTTCACTAATTTTCTGGTTTTTGTTTTGTGCGTTTCTTTGGCCCTTGCTCCTGCGGCTGCTGCTGCTGCTGCTGCTGCTACAGGGGATGGTTGTCAGCGCGACAGGATGCAGTCTCAGTCGCAGTCCAAGTTTCAGCTAAGGGCACAGCCAGTGCCGCACAATAGCACACACACACACACACATACACACACACACACACACATACGCGCGCACACACAGACACAATTAAGGGAAGGCGACCAAAAATGCCAGTGTCGACGTCAACGTCGACTGCGACGCGTCGTGCGTCATGGTATATGAGAATCAGGGAAATTCCAAGAACCACCAGCAAAGAAATTTCATTTCAAATCATGTTTTTAGCTTGCCTCCCTCCCCGCCCCGCCCCCCATCCCTTGTCGCTCTGGTCAAAGCTTTAGCAAATTCTCAACTGTACAATATTGCGCAGTTCAGTTAGATCTAGGGTACTACATGTAGGGGGGTAAGGCGCACAGGCGCACGATAACAACACACAAAAAAAAAAATAACGAAACGGTGCAACTATTTAATAATAATGCGCGGCGGCGGCTGCATTGCTGCAGGGGGTTGCTTGTGTGATATATGTAGACCTTGCTTTTAGGGGTGACTATGCCATTTTTCATAATCTCACACAGATATACACACACACACACGCACACACACACACACACACGCACACGTGCTCAATTTGTGTAGATATATTATCATATTCAGTTTTTGGGTTGCAACGCTTCCGGTTCATTGTAATTTCCAATCAGACAAGACTAGGCTCAAACTCGGACTCAGACTCGGCTTACAGCTGCTGTAGCGGTTGGACATTAATAAGGGAATGTGCGTGTGTGTGTGTGCGCGTGTGTGCGTGTGTGCGTGTGTGTGCATTTTCTGTTGTCCTTGCTACCCTTGCGTTGGCAATTGGAATTTATGGTATTTATTATTTTTGCTTGCATTTCACTATTTTCTCCTGCTTTATTCACGCTTGTGACTATGAACAGCTGTCCTTCGGCTCCTTCACAAAATGTTGTACAAGTCGTGGTGGTGCTATTGGTGGTGGTAGTGGTGATGGTGGTGTTGCTGCCGCTGCAGGATCAGTCACCCCACTTGAAATGCCAGTGTGTGCTTCTGTTTGTGTATGTGTGTGTGTGTGAGTGTGCTCATGATGCGTGAGCAATAAGGCTGGCCAGTTAATGGGGTGATCCCTATTCAAATCTGTACAGCAACCCCAACCCCAACACAGCACCAAAAATGTCCAGCAATGTGCCAAAGAGAAGAAAAAGCGATTACTTTGGGCACACCGAAGATTAGATACCCTTGTAGATCGGCGTCAAGTTGCCGACATCTAAATTGTATTATAAAAGTAAGAAAGGCACCGATTATTGCTACGAATGCTATATGATATAGTAGTCTCATGTATACTCCTTTATAGCTTCTTCTCCAAATATTTAGAGCTTAAAAGCACGTTTAACTTATGAGTTTGGAGAGCAAAAAAGTTTTTGATACAAGAAATCATCATTTGACAGATTGTACCTCAACTCTATTGATCGGTAGTGACCGAGAAACAGACATGGCTATATCGATTTGGCTGCTGATGCTGATCAAGAGAATATATGCATTAGTGGATCGGGGACGTCTCCTTCAATGCGTTGCACACATTAAGAGAAAATGTGAATGCCCTCTGCAAGGGTATAGAAACACTCGCAACTACAAGAAAAAGAAGTGAATTAACCCCTAACCTACACCACACCACACCATGCCACACCACAGAGCAAGCACAGTGTACAAGCGAAGCCTGCACAGTGGCACAATCATGGCATTCCTGCGAGTGCGCGACCTATCAAAAATATGAATTGCCAAATATTTAACAGAACCTGCACGTATTCCTAGCTAGCACAGCAGCTGGCCAACACACCTTACATATATATTTACACACAATGACGGTAAACAAATTGCACCATTATCAATTCAAAAGTTCTGTCTTTGATATCTGAGCTTTGTCCTAATGTGTTCGTGCGAGGATTAAAGGATTCAAGGTGAATGCTATGAGCTTGATTTGATTATTGTGGAGTAGGGCATTATTACTTTGAATAAAAAAAGAGCATGGATCAACATATTTATGGGTTTCCAATAAGAAAAACAACTCTTAGCATACCAACAAGAGAGCTCGGAAGTGGTTCAAGGAAAGTCGTTAGACCTAAACCTCTTGGAAACAATCAAAGCTTTTAGGCTGATGTTAATGAGGCAGTGTCCGATGCCAATTCAATGAATAACAAAAATCTTTGGCTTATTTAAGCGCCTTAATCTATTAATTCTGAAAATAAAATATATCTGGAATTTTTATTTTTTATTTTATATATTTTTTTTATTAATTTGTATGCTGAGAAGCCGTGCTAATTTGTTAATTTAAAAGAAATACTTTTACAAAGACAGAGTAATGTTTTCGTGTTAATTCTTCGTCTACAGCTATAAACCTATAAATATCTCACATATACCCCATATATCTCGAACGGACTTTTTGGCAGTTCAGTTAGCTCTATGTACATACAAACAAACATATGTACTTGGCATATCTGGCTATACATTCAGTATTCAACCCCTTTGAGGGTTTGCCCTTTGCATATTCAATGCCATTATGGGCAGAGTGGTGATAGTTCAACATCAATCAACTACTCCGTTGCTTCGTTTTATGCATAGTTCATGTACGTATGTCTGTATGTATGCATGTATGTATGTATGTACGTCTGTATGTATGTATGTATGTTTGGTCCACTTGAAAAATTCAATCATCTTATTTGAGGCGCCGCTTCGCAGACACAACACTCAAGTGCCAAATGTGCTTGGGTTGGGGAGGGGGAAGGGGTGTGAGTTAACCCTTTGATGACCTTATGTCTGCGCATAATAATACCTAAAGACAGGTTAGTTTACCAAAATGAAAATGAGTAATTTAAGGGAGGCAACAACGAAACAACAAACAACAACAGATACAGATACAAAGATACTGTGAGACAAATAAGCTAAATGAGCCTCGGAGACCATTTGCAGATTCAAATTAAAACCATGCACTTTTCAGCATATGTTGTTTAAAGCCAACCTAAATAGGACTACGAACTATTTTGAGGGTGCCAAAGTTGATATACAATTTGTGTCAATCTGAGGTAAAGTAACGTTTGTCTGAACTTATGTTCAAGTTCATCACGCAAATATTCAAAAGAACAGTTTTGATTGGGTTGCCAACAATTAAATTATTAATTAATTAATAATTAATCTTAGATACAGCTACTATATGTCATAAATATATATATATATATATATTTGTATACTTTATAGTAATACTATATACATATATAATATTATATACCCTGGACATAATTAAATTTTAGTCCGAAGTTTTAATGTTTTAAAAGAAATTTATATGTCAACTATTTTACGATTGGCTGAGAACTGAGTATTCAACATTCATGTTATTATATTGTAGTCGCATATCTCGATACCATAACTTACAACTTATATTTCGATCGACTGTTCCCATGCCAGCTAAATGAGATATGACGATGTCAACAATATAGAAACACAGACGATCTTGACTATATAGACTCGGCTAACATCGCTGATCAAAATTATCTGCACATTATGTGGTCGCTGCCGCAGAATTAAATGCGTTACACCTGTCAACCCTCTTCAAGGGTTTAACTTGAGTGTGTTGGTTTCAAGTCTTGGGAATGTAATTCACAATTATTTATAGGCTGCTTTCAGGCTATTGTTGGCCTTTCATATTATTATTATTTTCTACTATTATTATACATTAAAGTTGACACTGTGTCGCTGTCAAATAATAAATGTCGATCGAATTACCAATCGATAAATAGTTATAGTGGCCGATTCTGATTAACGAAATATTGTAACTCCGAAAGACACTTTAATTTAAATAAATATAAACTAAGATAGCACTTCTCATGCCGTTGCCAATCGGAACTAGCCGTTAAATACAACCACTTTATTCAATTAAATTGTTGTGTTTTGCTTTACTAAGTTATATAGTTTTTTTTATATATGTATATACCGATAATAATAGATCATATGGGGTTTATAAGTGAGCAGCAGGTTTTCTTGATCAACAACAACAACAAATACAACAACAAGCAAATATGTTTAATATATGTATGGATATATGTATATTATATTCCAATAGACATCAAGTATAACACGTATTAGTCATAGCTCGCATAAAACTATTGTCGTTGACATTTTGACCACAAAAGTTCGATCGATTAAACCGGAAAGAAAGCCATGTTTGTATATATATATAAATAATACATATGTATATGTATATATGTATATATAGTGTGTGTTTGTTATGGACGCATGTGTGAAAGGATGCATCTAACAGAGATTTATTATATATGTATTTGGCTTTCCCTTGGGCCACAGGCTACTCAACGTCTGCTCAACTGTGGGATCTGTCCAACTGTTCCACTATCCAATTGTCCAACTGTCGATCTGTCGAACTGTGAGCGTGTTTAATTGCATTTGGCAAAAGTCGCAGCAACTCGTATAACTTATGTATAACAGTTCTCAGCAGTAGCGACAACTACAACAACAACAACAACAACAGCAGCAGCAGCAGCAGCAGCAGCAACAGCTTTTTAGTCTGTTTCTAAACCGGTTAACAGATTTGTTAGTTGCTTTGCGCAGCAGTTTGCGGGTGCAGCGGTAACGTGGAGAGGGGGTAGCGGTAGGGGGTGGAGGGGAGGTGAGGGGAGTTTGGCATGGAACAGCTGGAACTGGTTTACGTTTAATGGGCAGCTGGTGATACATCAGCAAGCAGCAAGCAGCAATAAAAGATTGTTGGCCAAGTTAATTTTATTTGTTTTCAATTCGTTCGATTCGATTTCTGGTTGATTTGAAACTCACACACACACACACACACACACAAACACACACACACAAACACTTATGTACACTCTCTTGCCTGCTGAGGTAGGTTTTATTTTTTAAGCATCCAGCCAATGGTGCGTGAATCTTGCAGCTTGATCTTAACAGACTGAGGCTGTGCATCTGAATCTGTGGCTGTTGCCTCATCATGCTGTTGACTGTGTCTCGAGTGCGTTGGACGGACGAGCTGGACGCGCTGCAATTGGCTGGCTGGTGGCGTGAAATCGAAGGGCATCAATGGGCCAAAGTAGATGTGTCGCAGCAAATTAAATTGACTGACGACCTCGTCCAGGTACATGGTGTGCAGGCCACGATAGATGTGCGACCACGACGAGAGCGCCGTAATGCTCCACAATTGGCTGGAGTGTGCACAAAAATTGCCCACTTTTGTCTGAGCCAAATGTGACACACAGTCGGCCAATAAATATTGTTTGCGCCACTGCGTATAGATAGGGGGTTCGAGCAGCTGATTGGGCACGAATGGTGGATTGTAGCACAATTGTGCCGTACCCCACAGATACACAACAAACTGATAATCATCCAGCGAGTAGGCACCCTGACTGCCAGCGGGCCTCATGTCAAACTGCAACTGCAACTGTCGCACACAGCACAGATAGCGATGGAAGAGCAACAGTGCTGCCGCCGGCTCATCCTCTGGCTGTAATATCTGCGACCGGAATAGGCTGCACAAAAAGAAGAGGAAGCTGAGCTCGTGACCGGTGCCGTAGTCGATGCGCATCTGATTGCCAAAGGATCCGGCCAAATACTGACCCAGCTCACCGACATACTCGCACTTGCTCTTCGGCAGTGCCGACTCGAGCATATTGAAGATGCTGCGCAACATTTGACGCGACCAATTTCGATACGATTGCTTAACACACGCCCCTCCCGACTTGACCAGTGGAGCAGATGCGGTCAGTTCAGCGAGCAGACGATCGAAGATGCCACACAGTTGTCGCATGGTGTCGCTAATCCGATAGCCGGATGTCTCCTGCCGTTGCAAGCCCTGAATCGCGTTGCTAGTCCGATTGATATAGTTGATCAGCTCCTGATAGGCAATCGAGTTGTGCCACAGCTCCGTATCGGACCTTATGTGGACACGTATCGCGGTCCCGCTCTTCTCCAAGTATTTGGCAACCTGTGCATTGATATCCATTTTCTCCGCTTTGATTTTTCTTGTGTGTTTTTTTGGTTTACCCCAAAATACTGAATTAATTGAACTGACTAAAATTTCGGAGTTTAAAAATGAACCTCAGCTTGCAGATATTGAATGGATGATCTGAACTGAACTGGGTCCTTATCAGCATATCCAACCCAAGATTGAATTGGGCTAATTTCGCGAGTGCATCGCGCTTGATTGAAACCCAACTTAAAGTTTTAGACGGATTCAACACATTACACGATAAGAACGGGATAAGCTTAAAAGTTAAGTGTTGACTTTGTTTGAATCAAGAATCGTGCCTACTTTTAACTAAAGCACTTTAATATGCCTACCAAAGAACACTTTAATTCTTGATGTCTACTTAATATGCACAATGAACAATATGAGTCTACATCATTGAATATTAAATGAAGCGCGCTTAAAACTTGGACACAAGTCTTACTTGTCTTACTTTTGACGTTCGACTTTTCTCTTTATTAGCATACAAACTTCATTAATGTTAGTACAGTGAACGCTCAATAGTTGGGAAAGTGCTACAACGAGTCGTTTAATTCACATTTATGTAAATTATTCAACCACAGCAACTGAACAGAGACAGAAACAGATACACATATGCATGTTATTATTTTTTCAATATTTTCCTGGAAATGTAATACTTTCAAAGAGGAAGTGGGATAGTGTTTACGTGAAAATATAACATGGCTATCATTCTGGGAATAATATTCATTTGTTTGTCTCTGTATTGTATTTATTGTTCACAACGTCAGCGAGTCTCTCTGAGTGTACATTACAGAAGCAATCAGAAGCAATAACAGGAACAGCAACTGCGACTGCAACAGTAACAGTAACAGTATCAGTAGCATTAGCAGTAGGTGAGCGTCGATAGCGTCACGTGCCAAATTCTATGCACTGTCAGTCGCTGTTATTATTAACAGTGAGAGCGAGAGACAGCGAACGAAAGACACAGCGCAAGAGAGAGAGAGAGAGAGAGAGAGAGAGAGAGCGAGAGCGCAAGAGAGTTAGCGTGTGAGAGAGGAGCATGAGCAATTTGCGTGCGAGAGAGGAACATGAGCAATTTGCAGTGCAACGCAACATTTTGCAATACAAAAGCATATTTGATTTGTGCCCACGAAAAGAGAACGTTTAGCGTTTGCCTCTGCCGCCGAGCGCCGTCCTGCTGCTGCTGTTGTTGCTGTTGTTGTTGCTGTTGCTGTTGCCTTTCGCCCCGCAGCATTATCGGCACTCTCTTTAGGTTTTTAGGCTTTCTTTCTGGGTGCGCGCCCGACGCGTTCATTGACTAAGGTCTCGGAATAGTGTTTAAAATTAAATCGATGAGTCAGACAGGTGCCCGCGTCCGCTCACCCGCTCACCCGCCGCTTAGCCGCTTAGTCGTTTCGCCAGCCGACAGTCGACAGTCGACAGCCGATAGCCGACAGCCTCATCGGTGTCTGGCCATGAGTATTTAAGTACTTTCCGAGTGGCTTTCGTCCCGCTGCTGTTGAGCAGTTGAGTGAGTGAGTGCAGTGAGTGCATGCATGCGTCGGTGATGTCTCACTTATTTTGCTTTGCTTTGGAGCAGACCAACGCGGCGTGGCGACAACAACAGCATCAGGCGGCAAATCGCTGACTCTTCCCATCACACACAATTCGCTCGCTCACTTGCTCACTCACACACACACACACACACACACACATGCACACAGCGTGTGTATTTACATACATAGATAGATTTACATGCTTAGTTATTACTTGTTTATTTTATTTGTCCGTCGGCAACAGCAGCCGTCGCACACTTTGAATAATTGGCAACTTTTCTCTGGCCAACAAAAAAAAACGAAACAGGAAGTGCGAAGCAAGTCACGTACATCAAAAACAGAACACACACCAGCAGCAGTAGCAGCAGCAACAGCATCAGCAGCAGCGGCGGCAACGCCGGCGGTAATGGGTTAAATGACTGCAAAACATAACACCAACAGCAGCAGCAAACAGTGTTGCCAAAACAACAACAACAAAAATAAAATAAAGGCTGGTCTTGGAGGGAGTATAAAACAACAAGTCACTTTTTATATTATTATTGTTGCTTTGGGGAGGCATAAATATATATGTATTCTTGATCAGCATCACGAGCCCTTTTCCAGTTCTACACAAAACTTTGTTTCTATTGCTGCTGTTATGTTATCCGTTATAAATTTATATATATATATATGTATATTTATGTATCTTTAATAATCGCCCATTGCGCGGAAGAAACATAAAAGTTAGTTTTGGACGCACTGACGGCAAGTGACAAGCGACAAAAGCGGAGACTCACAAATTGTGTTGCATTTGGGAACATCAACTGCAGTCGCCACAATGTGAATGTGAGTGTGAGTGTGAATGTGAATGTGAATGAGTGTGTGCGAGCAATAAATGCACTCGTCGTGGGTGGGTGGGTGTTTTGTTTTATTTTGTTTCGTGCGATTTGCACATCATCATCATTTGTGGCATAGTCGCCTGAAATGCATTATTGCATGTTAATATCTTTAGTTTTCATCACTCATCATCCAGCTGACAGGCGAGAACTATATACACACATAAATACATATTGTATGCCAGGTGAATGATATGTGATATATGTATGCGGATATTTTTGTGAATGGAAATGAATGGAAGGATGAGGGCCAGCAACATGCGAGAAATAAGAGAAACCAGACCGCAGATTTACAAAGAAATTGTGTTACGTAGAAATTTCGACAGTAGGAACCAATGATAAGCAATACAAAAAAAACAAAACAAATGTATATATTTAGATATATATGTATGTATATATATAAATATCTGCAATCTGTGCGAATGTATAAAATTAAGAAGAGTCGTGCCATTCACAAGAAAATATTCTACAACTGTTGTGGAAAAAACCGTGAGTCATCCAAGCGAAATCTATTAAAATGCAATTTTGTTTGTGTTTTGTTTATTAGCTGTGTTGTTGTTGTTGTTGTTCAACAATACAAGTGTGAACAGATTTAACAAAATCTCTGCATTTATTTGTATGATTTGCATGGGCTAAAGTTAAAGCACAGCATACTTATTGGGTGGGTACTTTGCATAATTAATCTAACTGTAACTATGGCAATTATAGTTGATTTAATTGTGTATATTTTTTTGAAGATTACTATTCGATATGTACACAAATATGTAACACTTGTCCAGCTAAAGAGCAGAGTAACAACAACAACAGCAACAACAACAACAACAAAAGAATAATTGTCGACAACAATCAGCTAAATCAGCTAAAAGAAGAAGACGAAGAAGAGAAGAAGTCGTAGAAAACGTAGACGTAAAGCGACAACAATTGAAACTTTTTGTGTGGAGTTTTTGCAGCGCAGTTTGATTGAAAACTTCTTGTCGTCTTGTCGCGGCTGATTGCAACGGTCGTCGGATGGGGAAGGAATAGAAGAAAGGGTTGTGGATGGAAAAAGCTGAAACTGGTTTTCGACTGTCGGTTGTCGGCTGTCGGCTGTCTGCTGTCTGCTGGCGGAGAGATAAAGCCAAATAATGTCTCGTGGCAAACGGTGGTAAACGTTTGGTTTGTTCGCTAACTGATTGTGGCAACAAGAAAGCCAAATAGTAGCTGGTAGCGGGGGAATCGAACAAAAGTGCATAGAATGAATCGAATCGATTGCAAATCCATCCCCCTGGATTGCATAATTCGCGATCTTCACATATATATATATATATATATATGTATATATGTATAACTATATATATGTAGGAAGGAAAGTAAAGTAACGTAAAGTTAAGAAAAGTAAAGAAAAGGAACGGAACAGCAACAGCAACAGCAGAAGGAAAAGCAAATGCTGTTTTGGAACCGTTCAAATCAAATTCGTCGCGAGTACCAAGGTAAACACACTCAGCAAAACAACAACCAACCGTCTAGAGGAAAACAGAAGAAACCACTAAAACAACAACAGCAGCAGCAGCAGCAGCAGCAACAACAACAACAGCAGCACACGGCACACAAAAAGAATGGCCCCAAAAAGCAAAAGAAAAAACAACAGAAAAAAGAAGAAAAAAAAACTGGTAGGACAACTTTTTGTTTCGCCTGATAGAAATCCACACACGTCCAAGTCAAACTCGAACTCAAACTTAAAGTCCAAGCCAAAAAAAAAAAGATAAAGAAAAAAACAAAAATAAAAAAACATATACCTCAAGCTGATTTTGCTATTGCTAATGCTTTTTATTGCTGACTTGGCTCGCAGTGGCACAACGCAGTGGTAAGTTGGCTGGTTGGTTGCTTGCCTGGTTTCTTGGGCTGCACCGATCGCGCCTAATTCTGCATAACAGACTGTTATGTTATTAACAGTCGAATTATGCTGGCGATAACAGCGAAACTAAAAGAGGATGGGGGGGGGGGGCTGGATTGGGGACGAGATGAGCCTGCGACGAGCGCCTCTCTCTTCACTCTCTGACTAAACAGGGAGAGTTGAATATAGAAAGTGAGAAAGAGGGAGAGGGAGGGAGAGAGAGAGAGAGAGCGAGAGCAGGACATGGCAAATTCTGGATGGGCAAAAAACAACATTGCGCAAGATGGACCCGATCGGGTTCTGTGAACCCCACCTAGCACACGTACACGAACACACACACACACACACAATACAAAGAGACAACGCCGAGAGTTTGTTGTTGTGACTCGCTTCAATAGACAGCAGCGCGCACACGCACACAAACTCACACTCCCAAAAGCGAAAGAACATCCAAAGGTAGAAATGAACGTGTGTACATGTGTGTGTGTGTGTGTGTGTGTGTGTGTGTGTGTTTGTACGTGTGAGTGAGTGCGTGCATGTGTGTAGATAGAAACCAGTATAGTTGTATGTATGCAATGTTGTTGTTGGAATTGGTTGTCTTTGTCACCAGCTTTGCTTGATTAAGGAACGTGTATGCGCAGCGCAAGAGAGAGCTCAAAATTCAGTGTGAGAGCGCAAGAGCAAGGTTGCATGCACGTAAGAGTAAATCGGAGAGCGATCAATGTAAACTGGCCAAGGTGTAAAAGACGCGTACACACACACACACACACACAATGGGCCGTTGCATTCATCTGTTTGTTTTGGCCCGTATATAGAAAATGACAAACATACACACACAATTTGGCATCGATGTTGTGGTTTTTCTTTAATTGCTGCAGGACA